ATCAGCTTCAGGTGTACAGTGCAGTGATCACGCCTCTACCCCATCCATGAAGCCGTCTCCCTAACAAGACATGTGACTGACACCCTACAAAATATTTACATTATTTATATTCCTCATACTGTCATTCATATCCCTGTGGCAATATTGTAGTTACCTATTTGTGCTGTATAATCCCTTCCTCTTCTCCCTCATTCCCACCCCCCTCCCAACTAGCAGCCATCAGTTTTTCCTCTGTGTCTCTGAGACCGTTTCTGTTTACTTTGCTCGTTCATTCATTTTTTTAGATTCCATGTATAAGTGAGATCATATATTTGTCTTTTCCGACTGACTTATTTCACTTAACATAATAGTCTCTAGGTCCATCCATATTGTTGCAAATGGTATGATTTCATTCTTTATAGCGGAGTAATACTCCATTGTATAAATGTACCACAGTTTCTTAATCCAGTCGTCTTGTTGCTTTTTAATAAAAGGTGGAATAAAAGATCTCTGGGTGTTTTGTTCCACTAAGTTGGCCAAAGGACTTAAGAGTCTGAGGGGGCTTTCCTTAAGATCTTCTCACTCTTGAAATTTTTAAAGATGAAACACATAGTTTTGGAATTAGCACTTCACTCCAATATATTAAAATAGTAATTATACTGTTGAAAATGAGAGAACATTAAAACCTTTGCGATAGTGCTGTTGTATTAATAGGGTCTGTGTCTTTTGCACCTTTGGTTTCCTCCAGTCCCCTGCCTGAGTACTCAGCATGGTGCCACATGAGCAGAAATCTACATGCATGTGGGCTTTATGAAGTTTTTATTGATAACATTGTGAAATCAGAAGGCTCGGTGCTTACCAGCTGCATTTTGAACTTGACTACTACATGAATTAAGTATACAAGTCTATTAGCATGACCTCTGGTAATAATAGCCTGTTGTACAAAAGGCGAGTGGTTTGCTCCTAATGAACGTCTATATACTAGGTAATGAGATTAAAACGGTAGGCTCCCAGATACCTGGTGGGGCACTCTGGTGGTCCAGCAGGTTGGACGCTTGGTCCCTAATCCCTATGCTTCTCAAGCCAGGGGTTAGCACGTTTTGGGAGCACGTTTTGGGACCTATTATCAGCAAAGAATAGGACGGAACATAACTGCACCTGATGACTTCTTACTTGTGCTGCTGATACAATTCAGGTCCCACTCCTTCACAGTTCTGTAATAAGCGACTTTTTCTTTTTCAATATAAAAGAAATATTCTTTCCTCGTCGATCATCCTCATATTTTACTTGGAGGATAGTAGATGGGAAACATTTTAAGAACCCCTTCCCTCATTTTGAGAATTCACAAATTTATAGCTTTTGAGTAAGAAATTAGAGTGAAGGGCCATCCGAGTGGCGTGATGGTTAAGAACTGGCTTGGGACGCCAGAGGACCCCGGTTCGGATCCCACATTTGAGGGCCAGTGACACTGCCCTCCACAGCTAAGATGCTCAACAACAGCTCAGCCTGGAGCTGGGCTGCCGTGAGTCGCCTGGGACGGTGTAGGCTGCAGCCCCTGTGGCAGTGGGTTGCCACGGGCTACCGTGTGCAGCCAGCAGCCAGCTTGGGCGGCTGGGGACTGATCTGCCTCACCCGGGAAGAGCGCAATGATGGTGCTAACTTGGGCCAGTGAAGCAACGTCCTCCACAACTAGACTGAAGACCAAAACTACAGCAACTTAAAAAAGAAAGAAAGAAAGAAAGAAATTAGAGTGAAGACTGTTAGAGATCCACGGTGAACAGCAGGGGTTCAGTCTGTGCGGCTCCAGATGGAGCCCTAAGACGGCGATGCACGTGCCTCTGGCGAAGTGAGCCTGGGGTGTGGACGATGGCGGCGCAGGAAACGCGGGGAGACCAAGCTGGCAGCTCAGTTCCGATCCACACGCATGCGGCTTCCGGGTCCGAGCCGCCAAACCCCTCGCTAAAGGTGCAGACGGCGACAGCTAGTCCCGCACTCACCCGCCGCGGCCCTCGCGCGACCGCGGCGCGGACGGACCCGTAGGCGTCGGATGATGACGTAACCCCGGGGCTGGGCGCTGATTGGCTTCGGAAGAGGGTCGCCGCCGCCGGCGCCTCAGCCTCGCGAGAGCTGCGGCCTCGCGTGCGGGATGGCCGCGGAGCCGGGCGGAGCTGTCCCGCGGCTGCCGGAGCCGGCTCTGGGGCCCGAGACATGGCCCGGGGCTCCGGCCCGCTAGGCCGGCCCCGCCCCAACGCGGCCGCCATGCCCAAGCGAGGGAAGCGACTCAAGTTCCGGGCCCACGACGCCTGCTCTGGCCGAGGTGGGCGAGGGGCCGGGCGTTGCCAAGCTGGGGTGGCGGCCGGGAAGGGCCGGACGCCCCGAGGCGAGCGCTCGCCTGCCCGCTGCGGGAGGGGCCGGGGCCGGGCCTGCGGGGAGCGGGCGGCCTGGGGGGAGGACGCGGGAGAGGAGGCCGCCCTCTGAGGGATCGTGCTCGTTCCAGTGACCGTGGCGGACTACGCCAACTCGGATCCGGCCGTCGTGAGGTCCGGACGGGTCAAGAAAGCCGTCGCCAATGCCGTTCAGCAGGAAGGTAGGCTTCGGACGGGCGCTCGCAGCCTCGGGCCGTGGAGACAGGTGTTCCTTCTCCTGGGATTCGGCCTCAGGGTTTTCTTGCAGAAACGTTGTCGCGCTCCTCAGTGGTTGCTCATGTGTATTCCGGGGAGGTCGAAGGGTGGCATCAGCAGTTTCTGCAGCAGAAGCGTCTTATTTCTTTCTGTCTGCGGACTCTTCTGTAGTTTCCACTCCTTTCTTGACTATTAGCCTTCCCCCCGTAGCTCACGTATTCTTCTCCACGTGCCCTGCACTTTGCTTCTTTGTGTAATAATCTTGAAGTATTCTTTTCCTTTTCCCATGCTTTCCCTGCTTTCAAGCTTTTTACTCTCGTGTCCCTGAGACTTGTGTTTTTGTTAAACCTACGGTCTCCAGCCCAGGAGCATGGTTAAATTGGATTCCGTTCCTCTCCACCTTTGGTCCTGACAATTTATGCAAATAAGAATAGCATTCACCTTTTGTTTTCAGCCTGCAGGGTGTATAGTGGAAGAATAAAGCACTCCTTTTTTTTTTTTTTTTCTTCAGGAGTCAGCTTCTGCAGCTTTGGAGTTAGTTTGCCCATTGCTTTCCTTTTTTTTTTTTTTTTGTATTTAAAATAATGAATTTTCTTCTCTTTTGTATTCTCAGCTGACTCACATTGCTTTTGCTTTTTTTCCCCTAATGGATGCTGATATCCTGTCTAAGCCGTTTGTATTTTTGGGTGGGACTCTGCCTTCTCACCCTCGCCTTATTTTCTTCTAGTAAAATCTCTTTGTGGCTTGGAAGCCTCTCAGGTTCCTGCAGTGGAAGCTCTTTCTGGGGCTGGGGAGCCCTGTGACATGGACAGCAGTGATGAGGTGGATGCCCAGGGAGAGAGCATCCACGAGAGAACCGTCTCCAGGAAAAAGAAGAGCAAGAGGCATAGAGGTATGGGCCTCGCTGTCTTTTGGATTATTAGTCCCGTCTGCGGTGATAACTTGAAGCTGTCACTTTCACAGTAGCACCAGAAGTGATAGCTGTGGAGAACCAGAGTCTGGATCTCAGCAGTGGGACAGGGTTTGATATACCAGGGCTTTCTACTTTGGTGTCAGTTTGAGAGGAAAGGAACTTGGTAAGAGTCAGTAGAGTTCTGGAGCTGTGAACTTGACTGTAGTAGCCATTCATGGAGAACGTGTTATTGTCAGGTAAAAACCCTTATGACAACATGAAAACAAAAAGCCTTTGTATTTCTGGATTTCAGAATGTGTAAGGAAGTAGATGTGACAAAAATGTTTCCCTAAATATGTGGATTGTATATAACTAGTTTCGTTTCAGCTAAGGTTAGAAATTACCATGGCTTTTCAGTGTTCTGTGATTATTCCTGTTTGCTTTATGTCTAATAGGTACTGTGGGAAATAGAAAAGTATGTGGTATTTATATTTTAGTGGCGATAGAACTTACACAAATGATATAAAGAAAATAACCGTATATAACGTGCCAAACCATTGTTTAGTGCAGCGGTTCTCAACCTTCCTAATGCCGCGACCCCTTAATATAGTTCCTCATGTTGTGGGGACCCCCAACCATAAAATTATTTTCGTTGCTACTCTATAACTGTAATTTTGCTACTGTTATGAATCGTAATGTAAATATCTTTTTGTTTTCTGATGGTCTTAGGCAACCCCTGTGAAAGGGTCGTTCGACCCCCAAAGGGGTCGCGACCCACAGGTGGAGAACCCCTGGTTTAGTGGTTCTGCTCTAGACTTAATGAATAAATTCAGACTCCTGGGGGAGAGCTGAAAGAGCTGTCCTTAAAGCTGAAGTGCTCCTGATGACCAGCTGGTTAGGGGAGGCTAATGTACTAAATATGTGTATTTTTGGTCTCAAATCTACCAGAACTTTCACCTCTACTGGAGGATCAGATATTGTAGATTTGTATGTGTTAAAATATACTGAAATGATCAATAAATTAATGAATGACACATTGCTTTGCAACTTTACTAGTTATTTTCGGTGATACCACAGTTTTCCAGAACCCCAAAATTAATATTGACATTCCTCACATTTCTTTATTTCTTAATTTCTTTCTTGAAATCTGTACTCATCATCACTGTTCAGGTAGAGATTTTATTTTTTTAAAGATTTTTATTGGGGAATTGGGATGAGAACAGTGCTGGGGGAATTGGGAGAAGGGGAACAGACAAGTTGTTGTCGTTTTGTTCTTCAGTCTAGTTGTGGAGGAAGTTGCTTCACTGGCCCAAGTTGGCACCATCATTGCGCTCTTCCTGGGCGAGGCAGATCAGTTGCCGGCTTCTGGACGGCCGCTCACTGTGGCTGCTGGCTGCTCACGCTGGATGCTGGCTACACGGTAGCCCATGGCAACCCACTGCCACAGGGGCTGCAGCCTACGCTGTCGCCGGCGACTCACAGCAGCCCAGCTCCAGGTTGAGCGGTTGTTCAGCATCTTAGCTGTAGAGGGCAGTGTCACTGGCCCTCATATGTGGGATCCGAACCGGGGCCCTCTGGCATCCCAAGCCAGCTCTTAACCAATGCGCCACTCGGCCGGCCCGAGATTTGTTTTTTTGACACGTGCCACAGAACAGCTTACAGATTTTTGAACATCTTTATTGAGATAAAATGCTCACCTTTGAAGTGTACAATTCAATGGCTTTAGTATTTCAGAGTTGTGCGGCTACCATCATGATCTAAGTTTAGAACATTTTGTCACCCCAAAACCTATTAGCATCATTCCTCATTCCTAGCAACCACTAATCTCCTTTCTCTCTCTGGATTTGCCTATTTTGGACATTTTACATAAGTGGAATTACAGTAAGACCTTGGATTGCGAGTAACATGGTTTGCGAGTGTTCCACAGGACGAGCAAACATTTCTAATACATTTTAACTTGGTAAATGAGCGATGTCTTGCAATACGAGTGGTTTGTTTCCAGAACGAATTATGCTCGCAAACCAATGTATTACTGTATATAATATGTGGTCTTTTGTGTCTAGCTTCTTTCACTTAGCACAACATTTTTAAGGTTCATCCATATGTAGCATACATCAGTATTTCATTCATTCTTATTGCTTTTTATTTGGCTGTTATGAATAAATAATAACTGCTGTAAACACTTATGGACAAGTTTCTGTGTGGATGTAAATTTTTGTTTCTTTTGAATAGGAGTGAAATTGCTGGATTACTTGGTAATTCTGTGTTTAACTTTTGGATGGATTGCCAAACTGTTTGCTGAAGTTTCCATTTACATTCCCACCAGCAATGTAGTAGAGTTCCAGTTTCTCCACATTCTCACTAACACTTGTTATTGTCTTACTTTTTAAATAATTGCCATCCTGGTGGGTGTGAGGCTTCAGGGAGGTGGTGTAGGGGCTTTTTGCCCAGGAAAGAGACAGAATGCTGGTTTTTGGATAGTTCTCTGACTAGGTCTGAGTTAAAGGGTAGCGTTAGAATTAGCCCAGATTCAGGTATCTTTACGGAGTGTGAGTTTTTACTTGAACCTGAGATTTCTAGTGAACCCCCGAGTCAAGAGGATTAACACCAGTGAGGTCTAAAAGGAGGAGGGGGTGGGGTACATGCTACAGAGTATCTTTGAATACTGAGTGCTGTGACCAGGATCATAGGTCAGACTGGCAATGAAACAAGGAGAAACCAGAAGAAAAGCAACATGTCTACAGTCATTTTCGGCTAATGAAAATCACACTGTAACTTATATGGTTTTTAATTAACTTTGAGGTTTCCTCATACCATCTTAAAATCAGCTTTTTAAGAAAAATTTAATTAATTTATTTAGCTGAGCCATTCTGCCACCTGTTGGCAGCTCAGCTCGGGCTGGGAATCGAACCGGTGACCCTGTTGCCCAGAGCTCACACTCTTGAGTGAGCTCTTAAGCAACTGAGCCACTCGGCTGGCCCCTAGTTTTAAATGACTGAACTGAAGGAAATGTTTGGTGGATGGGGACTATGAGAAAAATCAAGGGCAGAGCGTACAGTGCAAAGCTGGAACTTGGAGTCAGAAAACCTGGGTTCTATTTGCCTTTGATTAGGTGGCGAGGTTCTGATTTTTTATTAGTAAAATGAGCACAATAATGTTTTCCTGTTTCCATTGAGGAATTATTAGAATTGAATGATAGAATGTGTGCAAAGGTACTTTGAAAACTTCAAAATAGTATGTAAATAAAGGTAAATAGTTGCAAGACCTATTCACTCAGGCAGCAGGAAGCAAGTTTCTAGCAGCTAGAACAAGCAGGAAATGATGAAGTAGAGAAGCTTCCTTGGACCTGTTTACAACTTTTTTCTCAACTGTGCAAGCCCTCAGCGAATTGAAGTGATTGGGGCTCTTCAGATGTGCATGCAGTGGGAGCTCAGGGATGATGGTTCTTCTGTGTGTTTCAGAAGACCTGGACAGGGCTGCAGGCGAAGAGTACCCCGTGGACATCTGGCTGCTGCTGGCCTCCTACATCCGCCCTGAGGACATTGCGAAGTTCTCCCTGATTTGTAAGAATGCCTGGACTGTCACGTGCACTGCCGCCTTTTGGACCAGGTTGTACCGAAGGTGCGACCACAGGGAGCTCACTCTGTTGTCTGTGTAGCCGATGTCGTGCTGTTTGTGATGTGGAGTTACTCCCGGGACGGTGACCTTTGCCTTTCTCTACTCCATGCCTGGAGTGAGCCTGGCTTAGAATCGTTGAGCCTCTCTCTAATGGAAACTTGGTACTGTTAACTCATCCAGGCAGTCGTCCTCCCTCTGGGTGCACCTGCCCGATCCAGTGTCCACTTGCAGTGAAAAGTCCTGCTGCGGGTCTCAAAAGGACTGTCTGACTTTCTTCAGGGGGTGCTGCAACTGATTTTGAAAAGCTGCAGGGGCCTGTCTACTTATCTGTGCAAGTGGATTAGTTTCTGAGATTCGCTGGTCATCTTGAAGGCACGTAGAGTTTGTGCTTGAGTTGACCTCCTTGTAGCTGTAGTGGTGAGGAGAGTGAGTACTACGGCTAGTAGGAGGGCTGGCTGGCTCTTGGCACTGGGCATAGAACTGTCGAGATTGTAAACTGGCGATGAGCATGTGTGCAAGGGGTGTGCAGGTAGCAGCGAGCACAGAACTTGCCGAGACATGTGACAGGACAGTCTGGGGGCTCTTCTAGGTGCAGGGTCTTCTTGAGGGTCTGAAGTCTTTGGTACGGGAATTGGGCAGAGATGCTCTTTTGTAGAGTGAAATGCTGAGGGTCAGAAATGTTAAACGGATGGAGAAGTACAGGAGTGTAAGGTACACGTGAGCTGGGTTTGCATAGCTGAGAAGTGAAGGATGCGATGATGTGTGTGAGAGCATTGGGGACACACCAGCTGCTGCTCAGGGAACAGTGCGGGACAGCCCTGGAGACCGGGAGCCCTGGGCGGCTGCCCTGGAGCAGGACAGAGTCACACATTGGGGGAGTAATGTGTCTTGTTCCAGGCACTACACGCTGGACGCCTGTCTGCCTTTGCGCCTGCGACCAGAGTCCATGGAGAAGCTGCGCTGTCTCCGGGCTTGTGTCATCCGGTCTCTGTACCACATGTACGAGCCATTTGCTGCTCGAATCTCCAAAATTCCAGCCATTCCGGAAAGCACGCCCAGCACATTGAAGAATTCCAAAGTGAGTGAGTGAGAATTAGTGTTGGGGGTTCACCAGTGGGCACTTGTGTGGTGGGTCTGTCACCGTGGCTTTTCTGCAGCTTCCTTGATGGGAAGCGAGGGCTGTGGGTCCCAGGCTGCTGGGGCCCTGGGGGCTTCACTTCTCCAAGCCGTTGCTGCTGTACTGGCCTGGCTCGTGTTACCTTGACCTGAAAGTTTCCTTGTGCTTTTACCATATTCCTTATTCTCTTTATTTTAATTCATTTTCATGCATTGTACATTGGACCACTTTAGATGGTTTTGATGGTTTGGGCTAGGAAGAACACCACTCAATGGTAGGTGTAAACTGTAATTCTTAAGAGGTGCTTTAAATCATGACACAAAGATACAGCACGGACAATTTACCAACTTTCTCTTTCTTATGTGACCTTAACCTCTGGGATTCCCTTTCTGTGACCTCTTTCAAAGGTCCTCGTGTCCAAGTTGCTCCTGTTTGCTGAGTGCCTGCTGTTGCCAAGCTCTGTGGCATGTCATGTCAGAGACCATGAGCACGTCAGCACTCTGAAATCCCTGTGTTCTAGGCTACTTGTGTCTTGGGCTTCCCCAGTAGTTTATATTCCTGCATTGCATTCGCGTTTCTGGCTTTCTGATGTGCAGACGGGTCTGGTATCCTTTGTCCATTCTCTTCTTTTTCTCCTCTTTAAGGAAATCCTAGCAGACGCACCTTTGCCCAGCTGGACTAGTGTAGCACATGGGTTATTTAGGCACGTTGATGTCCTGGCCCCCCACTTCTTTTCAAACTGATAATGTCTGAATTTTGTATCTTCTGAGTTTGTGGGTCATTTTTATTACTCTTTTCCTACCCCAAATCTGATGTTCTGTGGCACTCCCTATTCTTTTGTCTTTTGTTTTTATACTTTAAATGTTATAATGATTCTTCTGCCCTAGTTTAGCTCTAGTGTGAGAGTGTTCGACCTGATACATATTGATTAAAAGGATATTGTGGATTTCAAGATGATTTAGCAAGGCTCCTCCCAGGGTTGCAGACTGAGGTCAGGGCCACGGGCTGGGATGGATGTAGGGCAGGAGTAGAATTTCACCCGGCTGCGGTTTCTGCTTGTAATGTGAGTGGACAGCATAGCATGTCACATTTACAGTTTCCCTCCCCCAGAAAAGAAACATTTGATAGCGTCACACCAACTCTCACGGGTGGGGTGACCTACAGTTGACCAGCCAGGTGTGAGCGGTTGCTGGGGCAGAGCAGCATTGGGCAAATGCGGGCGTGATGCATCCTAGCGGCTCCAGTGCACAGTGCAGGTGCTGCTGCCTGGACTCTGGAGTCCCCGTGTCTCTGGTTCTTAGCGCTGCACACTGACTTTTCAGAAGTGGACTGAGAAGCCAGGTGGACTGATCACTAGTGTGCCAGTGCCGACAATGGCCCAGACCACCTGGCTGCTGCTTCTGTGCCTTGTTGTTAGAGGTCTTCTGAAGAGGATGTGGGGCCTGCGGTGGCAGGTGCCCATGCATGGCCGTGCCACTTGTATAACCACAGTCGCATGGCATTCAGGGAGTTGCCAGCATGCCTACAGGAAGTAGTCCCATGTTCCTGGACTCCAGCTTTTCGTATATGATCCCCCCTCTCTCTCTTTTCAGTAGCATAGCTTGTGTGGGACACTGGAGCCGTTGTGATGGCAGCAGAAGTGTTTGCCCCTTAAAGCCAAGCCCATTATTTTTGATGGAACATCAGGACGTACAGGGCATGTCTGAAGGGCAGGACAGCTGGCACGGCGGACGACCCACCCCTTGTCCCCTGGGAGGTACTTAACTTCTTGTGCTTAACCTTAGCTCTAGCCTGACTCATTGCAGGGCTTACTCTAGACTGAATCCAGCCCAGCGCTGTAGCCCACACTGGCTGTCTACTCCCAGAAGGTCCTGAGTGGATTGCTCGTGTCACAGGGCCGGCCGTCTCTGCTGCCTTTGTTACCATCTTGCCTGGTGGCTACTGGCTGCCCTTATGCTGTAACATAGAGGCGGGGCTTGAATCAGAGGATGCCCCTGTTTCTAGAGATGAGAACAATAGGGGGTGACCTCAGCAGCCTCTGAGGTTCACTTACATTGGTCCCTCTTCCTGTACTGAGCAGCCCTGGGATTGTCTCCTTTCATGTTGCACCAGTGTCACATGGGGGGGTGTCTATCTGTGCCAAAGTAAAATCACAGCATTGGGACTGTGGCTGGCTTCAGAGCTGTCAAACAGAATGGTTTTTCGGATTATTTTTTGTTGCCTTATTTTGATTTTTCTTCCCTGTCATTTATTTATTTATTAATTATTTTTATTTTCTTACAGTGCTTACTTTTCTGGTGCAGAAAGATAGTTGGGAACAGACAGGAACCAATGTGGGAATTCAACTTCAAATTCAAAAAACAGGTATGTATTTGTATCTCCTCTTTGTTTTTCAGATAATATTTTGTTCTAATAAATTTCACCAGGCATAAAATTGCCTTATTAAAATCAAATAATACACATCAAAACTTGTAATAATGCCATGAAAAGAAAACAAAGGAGCTTTTCTTCTTGAAAGACACACAAAGATATAACAGCTTAATGCAAAGAGGGAACCTTGAGAAGATCCTGGATCAGGGGACAAAAAGCTATACTAGATATTTTGGGGACAATTAAATTTGAATGTGCAGTGGATATTAGAGGGTATGAAATTATTGTTAATGTTCTTGGGTGTGATAATGACACTGTGGTCACATGTAAGTGTCTTTATGCTGAATAAGGGTGGAGTGTCAATGTCACTTTCAAATGGCTTTGTTCTTCCCACTGCCAAAATCGTGTGATTTTCATATACGCATATGTATAAAGTGAGGGGGAGAGAAAGCAAACGTGGTCAAATATCCAGTGCCAGAGAGTATACAGGAGTTCATTGTGCTATTTTAGTAATTCTTCTATGTATTTGAAGACTTCTTTAAGGTGGGAAAAAGGGGAATGCTTGTTCTAACAACATACTGAGGTTATTTGCCTAAAGTTTTTTGTTGTTGTTTGAAGCAAATGTATCTGTCAACACCAGTGATCTGTATGGTGTTATGTCTGAGGCGACTTGGGGAAGCCATGAGGAGAGGGACTGCCGAAAGGCCATTTACAGGAAGAGTAGACACTGTCCCCCCTCTGTCTCTGGCTGTCACTGGGGCTACCTGAGGTCTGGGCCGCAGTGCGGGGCTGCTCAGCTTGCCGCGATGTCCTGCGCGCACCGTCTTGTTTCTTCCGTTTCTCTCCCCACTGAGTGTCTCAGTGAGACACGTTACAAGTCCAGTCAGTTTCCCTCACTTGCTGGCAGGTGAGTTACAGATAGGTTTGTAATTAAAGTAAATCATATTTTTTCATTGATTTTTTCAAAAACTTGGTTCCAGAGGAGAATTTTAGCTTTGATCATTGTTTTCAACAAGGTATGCTCAACCCATGACACCCATTGGATGCTGGTAGGAAGTCACCCAGGATGTTTCTGGGGTGGGGCAGGCAGTCTTACACGGCCAGAGAGCGAATGGTGACGAGTCCTCTAGCTCTGAAACTTGTGACCCTTGTCTGTGGCGTCTGGGATTAGGTGGCACTTCTGCTTCCATCCTTTTGTGCAGCGGGTGTGCTTTTGAGATTGACAAGTCACAGGGTATTTGCAGTCTTTGAACGGTGGACAGCCTCTGGTAGAGCTGTAAAATGCCAGTTCTCACCAGATGGCAGGAAATGCCATGTAAGTGAAGCCCTGCGTCACTGCCACATTGCTCATCCAGGTGTTTCTCCTTCTGTCAAAGGTCAGGTCTTCTTTGATATGTGTGGGAACCAATGTGTACACAGAGAGAGGTGGGGACAGAAAAGTGGGTCTCAGTGTTGGTTGAGCCCCAGGGTTTTCATCGGTGGAGTCTTATAGCCAGAAACGTTCCCCCTGAGCCATGAGATTAATTGTCATTCTCTTCAGTCCCCTAGATTAAAGAGCAAGCACACGGGTGGCTTGCAGCCTCCTGTTCAGTACGAAGATGTCCATACCAACCCAGACCAGGACTGCTGTCTGCTGCAGGTCACCACCCTCAATTTCATCTTTATTCCAATTGTCATGGGAATGATATTCACCCTGGTAAGTGGAGACTGGATGGCATCTCACGCTCTTCCATAGACTCGGACTCTGCCTAGGGTTTGAAGGAAATTTTTCAATTTCACCATCGAAGAAGAACTCTTTGTCGAAAAATAAAAAGTCTGAATGCTGACTTGTAAATTAGGGGCAGACAGGTCCATGGAGGAGTTATTTACGTCTGAGAGTATCTCACTTGTTTTCTTCTCTACAGTAAAGAGAACATTTTTGCGTCTCCTGTGTAGTGAGCATCATGCTTGAGAGACATTACCCCTGGGATAATGGTGGGGCTGTCCATGAGCACTGTATGTAGGGGCTGCCAGGTGTGCGTCTGGCATCACAGATGCAATATGAAAACGGAGGGTGGCCAGCTCTGTCCTGGGAGGTGCTCTTGACCCTTCAAGGCTCAGCTAAGAATTAGATTAGTAAACAACAAATATGCCTCTGACCTATCTTTCAGGTTTTTAAAATTTTTAACTGGATTGGCAACTGGAGAGTTCATGCTTCATGTGATTTATCTTTGTACTTTAGGCTCATGTTCAGAGGTACACTGAAAATGGCTTTACTCTTTTTTTAATGGTAAAGCAGATAATACATACTTCATGTAAAGAATTGAAATAATGCATAAATACATTGAGACAAGGTGACCAAGGCTTGCAGTAACCTAAAACTGAGATTAACCCTTTAGGAACTGTTCTTTGTGTGTTTGTGTGCCTGTAACATGGACGTGTGTGCACCCCCTCCCTTAAATAATTCTATATAATTGAGATCCTGTCATACACGGGCTTTTATCAGTTTACTCCTCCCCCCCCCCCGGCAGGCTAGGCCACATTAGTGCTGGTCGTATGCTGCCTGTACTCCGTGTACTCCACATTCACACAGCTCTGTACAGCTCAGTGTACACAGAGACTTGGTGTATTTACCAAAAAGTGGGACCAGGTGTACGTTTCATGCTTCTTGCTTGACTTGCTTGATAGTATCTCATCAGAATCCCTTCGAGTCAGCCCTTCCAGCTCTAACCCAGTTTTTAGAAATGGGCTTTGGCAGTAGTCTGTGTACAGGCACCCTAATTTACTCAGCCACCTGGGAGGTGCTCTTTAGCATAGCTCAGCTGAAGAAGCTGGAGAACTTGTATAGTCCCCCTTAGTTTTTATACTTTTGCAAAGGTGTCAGGGGTTATCTTGTGGCCTAGCCGTGTCAGTTCTGTCCCGACTGTGTCACTTCAGACTGAGCTGTGGGAAAACAGGTTGTTTGATCTAGGTTCCGGATTTGCTTTCCCCCCAGTTCACCATCAGCGTGAGCACGGACATGCGGCACCATCGCGTGGGACTGCTGTTCCAGGACGCCCCTGTCCATGGTGGCCGGAAACTGCGCAGTGAGCAGGGTGTGCAAGTGATCCTGGACCCCGTGCACAGCGTGCGGCTCTTTGACTGGTGGCACCCACAGTACCCCTTCTCGCTGAGAGCGTAGTGCTGCTTCGTCCTGAGGGCTGAGTCCAGCGTGGTGCGGCGGCCTCATTGGATGTCTGCTTAGGGACACACATGCTCTTGGCTTCCTGGGGCTCCTGTTAGGGGAGGGGGAGGTGGAATCACGAGGAAAAACAACTGTAATTTCTGAACATATTTTAATGTAAAAATTTCATTTGAAAGAGGAAACCTGGCCCTATTTTCTGCGTTAAACCCCGCCCCCGCTCCCCCCCCACCCCAAACCCCATTTGGTGCTATTGAGTTTGTGGTCTTTATTCTTTTATCCCAATGAAAATGGATGACCTTGCTCTCTGGGAAAATTCAACTCTGGAATCTCAAAACAAGGAAGCTTCAGGTTGCCTGGGGCTCAGAGGAACCTGAGGGGCCTGAACTGTTGCTTCCAGTTTAACTGCCCCTCAAATTCAAGCGAATATTTCTCCCTTACCCTTCTCCAGAAATAAAGCAGGTGACAGGGTATTCATAATCGTACAAGATTGGCTTGTGTATCTTCTTTAAAAACAATTTTTGGAAATTTATCGCATAAATATTCTTTTGCCAATTTTGGATTTTAGGTATTTTTTTGACAGTACTGATGATAGTGACTTTGTGTCCTTGGTACTGTCCTAGGAACTATATGTAACAGCTCTAATTTTCACAGCCCTGCAAGGTAGGTGCCACTGTCCTCATCCTGAGGCAGAGAACACTGAAGGCCTATCGGCCAGTGAGTACCAGAGCCAAGACTCAGTCCCAGGTCTCTGCTGTGCCACAGTTAGAAAGGCCAGTTTCGTTTTTCTTGTGGTAGATGGTGACCGAGGGGTGGGCAGAGTGCATGCAGATAAAAAGTAAAAGGTAAGTAAAAACCTGATTGTGGTATGCCTTATCCCTAAGCAGCCGACAAGGTGTTTAAGATTGATGAGAGAGGCATTAAAATATGTTTCTAAGTAAAGTATAAGATGAACCAAGAACATTACTGCGGGAAAAAGAGTGGTATTTTCACTGAATTGTTAGAAAGGCATTTGTCATTAAAAAATGCATCCCCTGTTGAAATCAGCTTCCTGAGCTCTACACACTCTGTGACTTGCCCTGTACGGCCCATCGTCCCCTGTGTCCCCACAGAAATGCTATTGTCCTGTTGGTCAGAGGACTTGCTGTAGCTGGTACACTCTGAGAAGAGCATCATGGGTGCGTTTGTTGGTTTGTCTTATTTCTGCTGCTTTCTCCCACCCCATCCCTACCCCCCACCCCAACTTAGCCAGTGAGCTGGATATTGGCTAGATATTACCATGAGGTGGGTGTTAAGGCAATATTCTTTCAACATAAACATCTTGTGGGGGCAGTTGTTCGCATACTGCTAAATTGCCATCCTCCCTAACCCCTGCTATTTAAGGAGCATTCTTAGGAGCATCTGCCTAATACTTCTGCTAACAGCTAACATTACCCCACACTGAGGGTGGGAGCCTGGGTTAGTGAGAAACAGAATCTGGGCATTTAAATCGTAAAAACAGGGCCGGCTGAGTGGTGCGTTGGTTAAGAGCTGGCTTGGGACACCAGAGGGCCCCGGTTCGGATCCCACATCAGAGGGCCCCGGTTCGGATCCCACATATGAGGGCCAGTGACACTGCCCTCCACAGCTAAGATGGTGTACAACAGCTCAACCTGGAGCTGGGCTGCCGTGAGGTGACGGCGTAGGCTGCAGCCATTGCTACAGTGGGTTGCCATGGGCTAGCATGTGTGGCCAGCAGCCAGTGTGAGCGGCCAGCCGCTGCTGTGCGCGGCAGTCCAGAGACCGGCGACTGATCTGCCTCGCCCGGGAAGAGTGCAACGATGGTGCCAACTTGGGCCAGTGAAGCAACGTCCTCCACAACTAGACTGAAGAACAAAAGGACAGCAACTTGTCTGTTTCCCTTCCCCCAATTCCCCAATGCTGTTCCCATCCCCCAATTCCCCAATTAAAAAAAAAATCTTTAAAAAAAATGGTAAAAAGAAACAAGACCCAAGGACAGTAAGCACCTTGCAAATATCTGTAATCAGAAGTTGCCTCTGAGGCAGTAGGAGACCCTAGTTCCCTGAACTACAGGTGCCTTGGAGCGGAGTGGGCTGGCCTAATGGATTGCATGGCCCCAACTTAGGAGCTACCTTCAAAGGGGGAGTGAAATAGGTTTGGCTTAATAATGGTGTTCTGACTCAATTTTGGAGTTTTTGTGTCAAACTCCATGGTACGATGATAAATGTAATATTAGCTACTGCCTCAGCTGTTATCTGAGCATAAGGTTGACAAAAGACTTGGTGAAGTGTGTTACTGGGAGCCTCCATGGGTTCAGCCTCCCTCTTCATTAGCTGAGTTGCCTCTTCTAGGATGATTCATGGTTTACTAGTGAAAGGATGGGAAATGTCTTGGATTTCCTTTTGATGGGACCCCCCCACCCCCCCACCCCTCTCTCCAAATCACCAGGAGAAGAGTTGAAACTTTCTGGACTACTTTTGTAAAATCTATTTTGTAATTTTCACTCTTAAATCTATACCTTGATTTTGCTCTGAGGGTCAGCAGACCAAATAACGTAAATTTAGCTTCAAAAATCAGAATTACTCAAATTGTCCTGCCTTCTACCAAACATACAAGGAAACTAAACCAAATGGTGAATATATTGGAGAAAAGGAAGAAAAAGGTTGTATGTGCCACTGATTTCACTTACAGCATTTGTTGCTGATGTAGGACATGTGTCTGCCTGTGAATGTGCACACACAGCACGTTTATGAAACCCTTCAGCTCCTGGAGTGCGCCTGGGCTTCCTGAAGGACTGAGGCGGCACGGTGATGAAACTCACAAACCAGATAGGAAAGATTCATGTATGACCGCGGGACAGCGGAAGGAGCAAGTCAGGAAAATGGGGGAGATTTGGCTAAAATTTGCCAGGAATCTTGGCATGGACACTGCCTTCACAGAATGTGTCTAACAGACTGACATTTCATTTTTCAGTAAGTGTCAGCACAGTGACACAATTCACTTAAGCGCACGCCACTGAAATGTATGTGGATTTCAAGTTTCTCCACCTAAAAATGGGTGTGACCAAAGGAGAATCAAGAAATGGGCGTGAGGGAGCAGGTGTGAAAGGTGACAAACCGCTGGCAACAAGGCCAGTATGGAGCCCAATTTAGGGACCTGGGTGATTCTGAGGGAGAGCGGTGTGTGCTGCGCCACCTGGAGGGAGGCTCCAGGCCGAGTCCAGGCTGTGCGCAGCCTCACTGCCCTCTCAGGTCACGTGTCGGGGCGGGGCGGGGCCTGGAAGAAGCTGGTAGGCCCCGCCTCTTGGGGGGTGGGGTCAGGGCTCGGAGGGGGCGAGGCTCTGCTAGGAGGCTGCGGAGGCCTCTTCACGTGAGGGGTGGGGCGTGCCCCGAGCAGGGGCGTGGCCTCGAGTGAGGAGGCGGGGTTCGTGCCCCCGAGCCTGCAGCTGCTGGGTGTCCAGCTCCGGACGTCAGGGCAGCTCCTTGCTGCTGCGGCCTCCGAGCGGAGCTGCCCTGTCTTCGAGAACTGCAGGCAGGTGAGCGTCCAGAACCCAGTCTGGAGAAGGATGTCTCTTTTCCCTCCAGCTTCCGCACAGTTTGGGGAGGGGTCTGTCTGGCGCACCTTGGGCAGCAGCCCCTTTAGTCCCTTTTCACTCCACAGACATAGAGGCTACCCCTCTGCTGCTTCTCACCGGCCTTTGCAGTCCTGTGCCCTTGGGGTGAGCATAGAGGCGATGTCCAATTTGCGAGGGGGGGGGCGGGGAAGGGCTGGGGGGCGTGGAGTTCACAGAGTTCGCGCTCATCCATCAGCCTCGGAGGAGGGGAGCTGAGTGGCAGGTTTCCTGGAGGAAACCAGACGGACTGCGCCTCCATCCCCCCTAGGAGAGTCAGAGAAGAAGCGCCTCTAGGCTCCAGGGCCAGCTCCGCTCCCGGAGGCACAAGAGGTGCTGAGGACTTGGCGTTCCCCTGGGGTGGGGGGACTTAGCCTTCCCCGCGTTATTCACAACACCCCTTAATGTCGCTAGCTCTCCATCCTCCAGCTTTCAGACGCAGGCTGTGCCCGTCTCCGCAGTCTGCTGAGGTGGGGGCGAGGGGGGTTCGCAACTGGAAAAGGAAGCGGAATAGATTCCTGAACTGGTAGGGTGAGAGTGGGGAACCGAGTTCCCACCACGCAGTATGTTTTCCAGTGTAGATCCTGCAGCTTTTGACGGTGGGTGGGAAGAGAGGTTGGTTTGGAGGACTTGGAAATGCGGTGTGGGTGGTTTTCTTGGAGAAGAAGGAGAAGGGGGAAGACAAGGTGCCACTAGGTTCTGACGTCACCCTTGAGAGACATGCTGGCGGTGTCCATCGGAGGGGCAGGGAAGTTGGGCTGGGGCTTTGCTGTATTCCCGGTGAGTGAGTGGTTGCAAAGGAGGCTGTGCTTGGCATGCATGTCCCCTCCTGCTGGGGGCATAAGGTGCCCTCCAGGAGCAGGTTTCAGGGACTCCCCTCAGTCTTTTCAGATGTGTTACACACGCAGCAAACATTGACTGGGCGCCTGCTATATGCCAGACACTGTGCTAGGTGCTGGGTCTTCTGAAGCAATTTAGGGCCATGGGGCAATTGAGAGGTACACAGTCACACAGCAGGCACTCTGTTAACAGACACCCCCCCCCATTTTGTTACATTGCTTTTGGATTAGAAAAGATGGAACCGTCTGACCTGGATTGCAACCCACCCATCCCCTACCACTATTAACAATCCAGGTCGTCCCAAAGGAACAGTTTGAATTACTTTCCTTGGCTATTTCCTAGGACTTTTTCCTGAGGCCTGAGGAGGCTGCCTGGGTAAATGGTATCTCAAAATGATGAGATGATGACTATTAAAGTGGTTACTGGGGGCTAAGAAGGCACTAGACACCTGGCACAGTGGGGGACTCCATCTCTGGAAGGCAGAAGAGTGCAGTGGCTCACTGTGGAAGGGACGTCTCACCCACTGACCATGTCATGATATCAGAGCTGGGGAGTATGTGTGGCCTGGCAGCTGGGCACTGGGAGGGACTGGAGGGGCAGGGCCGGCAGCCAGGCTTCTGGGTCTCCTCTCTGAGTTGATTGCTGAAATCGTAGCGTTGGAAAGAGTTGTCAGGGATTGCTGTGGTCCTTTCAGAGCCACTGAGGATAATGGGGTGAGAGCTCGGGGAGAGGACCAGGAGGCAGGCTGAAGGCTCAACTCAGGCCCGGGGAGCTGGGGCCAAGAGGGCTTTAGGATATGGGGGAGCTAGCTGAGGCTTTTTATGCCAGGGACACTCCCCCAGGGCTTTGGGCTGTTGGATGGGTTGCTATAGAAACATGGTCTGGTATGGAGTTGTGTGTAGTGTGTGCTGGAGAGGAGTTGTTGGTGTGGAGTCGGGAGGACCAAGGCAGTGAAAGCTGCCTCAGAGTCCAGGTCCCAGGTGGAGGACTGGGAAGGAGGGAGGGGCAGGAGTGTACTGCAGCCACAGGAAGTCGCCGTCTGTTCCCCCTCTGGCCTGCTGTCTCACTGACCTATAATTAGCTCCGGAAGGCATATGGCACTGGCTCACAGGAACGCGGCCCTTTGGGTGCTCATCAGAGTGGAAGTACTTGGAGGGGCCGTGGTGCTAGGCAGACTCTGAAGGGGCTGCTTCGAGGGCACCGTCAGCCTTTGCTGAACTGAGGGGCCCCTGGGAGCTGAGACTGTCCTGGGGAAGGAGTTCTGAGCTGGGGGATCTACCCGCAGGGCCCGGCAGAGCCTGAGGCCTGGCCCGGCTCTCCCAGTGCTTCTGCTCCCCAGACGAGGTCAGCTCCAGCCCCAAGCAGGGGCTGACAGGCCTTGGCTGGGGCTGGTTCATTCTGAGTGCTAGAGGAGTAAATCCGAGTGATGCTCGGGCCGCCCCCAGGCTGTGCCGGAGGCCGGGTATGTGGTCGGGCTGCTCACTCTGGGTGCCTCTCCAGCCATTACTGCGTATCTGTGTTCTCTCAAGGAGGCCGCACTTCTCGAGGGCTGAGCCCAAATCTGACCCGCCTCTGTGTCCATAACCATCCCTAGGTCAGCATTGGATTCACGGGAGCCTCCTCAGTAAGTAATTGTTGGATTAAATTGAAGAGGTCTGGCTTCTTATCCCCTGGGTTCAAAGAAGCAGGGCCTCTTTGCAGCCAGAAAGATTTGCACTGGAGCAGAGGAGTCTCTTGGGACCAGTGCAGGGGTTCTACATCTTGGGGGGATGAGATCCTATAAGCAGTAGGTAAAGTGAAAACCCCTAAATCTCCATGAAACATTGTATATGGGTTTAGGTTTATAACTGAACAAAATGTTAAGTCTAGATGTAGTTAGTATACATTATATATCAGCTACATAAACACATAACGTATTCCATGATTTTTTTTTTTAAAGATTTTTATTGGGGAATTGGGAGTATGGGAACAGTGCTGGGGAATTGGGGGAAGGGGAACAGACAAGTTGCTGTCGTTTTGTTCTTCAGTCTAGTTGTGGAGGACGTTGCTTCACTGGCCCAAGTTGGCACCATCATTGCGCTCTTCCCGGGCGAGGCAGATCAGTCGCCGGCTTCTGGACGGCCGCTCACTGCGGCTGCTGGCCGCTCACGCTGGCTGCTGGCTACACACGGTAGCCCATGGCAACCCACTGCCGCAGGGGCTGCAGCCTACGCCGTCGCCGGCGACTCACAGCATCCTAGCTCCAGGTTGAGCTGTTGTTCAGCATCTTAGCTGTAGAGGGCAGTGTCACTGGCCCTCATATGTGGGATCCGAACCCGGGCCCTCTGGCGTCCCAAGCCAGTTCTTAACCATCGCGCCACTCGGCCGGCCCTCCATGATTTTAAAGAGTGCTTATATGCACTATAATTTTGTAGTTAGTTGTCAGATGAAATAGCTGGTTTGCTTTGCAGGCCTTTATTCTTTTTTTTTTTTTTTTAATTGGGGAATTGGGGGAGGGGAACAGCGTTGGGGAATCGAAGAAGGGGAACAGACAAGTTGCTGTTGTTTTGTTCTTCAGTCTAGTTGTGGAGGACGTTGCTTCACTGGCCCATGTTGGTATTATCATTGTGGTCTTCCCGGGTGAGGCAGTTGCTCGCCGGCCATTGGACGGCCTCTCATGGTGGCTCATGGCCCCTCACGGCCACTCACGGCCACTCACAAAAGCTCATGCCCGCTGCTAGCCAGCCCCACTGCAGCCTACACAGTCACTGGCGACTCACAGCAGCCCAGCTCCAGGTCGAGCTGTTGTTCACCATCTTAGCTGTAGAGGGCAGTGTCATTGGCCCTCACATGTGATCCCAACCAGGGTCCTGCTGCTCAGAACTGGCGTCCCAAGCCAACTCCTAACCAATGTGCCACTTGGCCGGCCCTACAGGCCTTTATTCTTATTTTGCCAGTCAGCAGAGTGAAATTCTTGTACAGTAAGCATGTCTGAAGTACCGTCATGACGACTGTCTTCAGGTAACTCATTTCAGAGGGCTGATGAGCTTGTTCTTCATTTCAGAGAAAACCTCCTTAGGACTTGAGGGCTCCCTCCCTTAGAGCTGAGCTCCTTGGTCCCAAGGGGTAATAAGTAGACGGGGCTGTCCAGATCCTGCAGGGATCAGCACGCAGGACCTCAGGAAGCCCGTCCCAGGGAGGCAGGGGTGGGGTGAGCACTAATGGGCTGTGAGTGGAGGGCCCAGGGGTGGGCCAAGCCAGGGGCTTGGGTAGGGCTGGTCCCTGAGCACTGGACATTCTGGGAGAGCCTTCACTTGTGCATGTGGACCCTGGACCCTGGAGACCCCACAGGGAAGCTCTGATGGGGGCAGTAAGTAGAAGGCTGGGCTGAGCCCGGCTGTGTGACCGCTACTCACATTGGGTCCCAGGGGGAGGACCCGAAACGTTCGGCCCTCGTCAGGAGGAGCTTTTGGGACAAGCGGAATTGCCACTCCTCTATTATCATCTCCACTCTTCCTCCCTATCAGGTTCACACAGGCCAACACCACACGTCTTTCATGGTCATACATAGACTCCCACGGCACCCACGTGCTTTTAGGAGCATACGTGATTTTACGCATGTGCTTGTATGACCACACACGTGCACGCTCATGATGGAACACACAGTCTCTCTGAGGACCACACACTTGTGTACACACTCACTCACACTCTCTCTGTCAGGACCCCCCCACACACACACTCTCACACTCTTTCATAACCACACGCTCACCCTCCTCTGACGCCTGCGTTTCTCTGGGCCGTCCTGTGCACCCTGGCTCCTGACTGCTCCCTCCTCATGTTCCTGGTTCCTCCTGGGTGGCCTGTTTTCTGCTGAGTGAAGGCTCCCTGATCTGAAGGCTGATCTAATGCAGTAACTTCTGAGCGTTTTACTCCAACGCCAGAGGACCCATATATGTCCTGCAGAGGCCTCTATTTTGAAAGATTTTTATTCTCTGAGTACACCCCACTACTATTTCATTTCCTGCCTTGCAACATTATTTGAGGACCTGTCAGTGTTAACCAGCAGCTCTGGTTAGCAGGAGATGGCTAGGGTTACTCGATGACGTAAGCTCGGCCAAAGGCATGTGCTGTGCTCGGTGGTGCAGCGTGTGTGTACGCGTGATGTCTGTTTCACTTAGAATGTGGGACACGCTGGTGGGCCCCAGGGTCCCCTGAGCAGCCTTCCCAGGCTTCCTGCCCTGTCACACTGCGATGCTGCCTCTCTGAGGACCTGCACTCACTGAGTGGGGCCTCTGTAAACAACACTTAAACCAGGGGCTGCCTACCCACTCTTAGACTTGGAACCCTTTATGCAAAAGAAACCTCAATCAGATGTCCAGTAAACTTGGAGTTGATGAGTGTAAAGTGAGAAAGAGCTCAGAGTCTTTTGCATTTGTCTCCCTCCTGCCCTCTTCTCGTCCCAGGCTGCCCCTAAAGCTACTGTCACAAGCCCAGGTTGCGATGGCTGTGATTTGGGCTGTTTGAGAGGACAAGCTATTTTGGGGGTACGCAGAAACTTGTGGCCCTCCATGCCCCACTCTCCTGACGTTAGTCATCCTGGGTGGTGACAGTGGGTGTGACAGCCCCGGTGTCCACCTGTGTCCTGGTGCAATTGTCATGGTGCCTCCGTTCACTGTCCAGAGGCCCTGGGTATGCAGCAACTTGGATGCTCACCCCAGTGACAGGCTGTGTCTCTTGGCCCTTGACTAACTCCTGGGAGCAGCTGGAGAGATGGGCCTCCCAGATCGAGGCCCAGGGGCCGCCTGGTGACATGATGCCTGCTGCGCTGAGGCCTTTCCCCAGGCTGGAGGAGGAGGGCCGGGCTGAGCTGTGCCTAGGCTGCCATTAACCCGGATGAGGGTGAGAGAGGCTGTGGCCTGAAGGAGCTGTGTCCACTCCTGTCCCTCCATCCCTGCCCCTCTCTGGAGTCAGACAGACTGGAATCGAGCCCTGGTCCTTCCTTTTATTCGCTGTGCAAAGTTGGTTACGTGACTTTGAGTCCCAGTTCTCACAGCTGTGAATCGGGACAAAGAATCACGTCTTCTTTGCAGGGGACCAAGAGCATGAAAGGAAGCTGACAGACATCAACTGACAGCACAGTGCCTGGCATGTGCTAAGTACTGACCACACCGTCACCGTTACATTTTCCCTGGGCGACCACCTCCCTGCCCGTTTCCTGCAGCCATGTGGGTGCATGGCCCGTCCTCTTGCCTCTTGGCTCTGAGGGCCCCACCCTGAGGCTCCCTCTTTGCCCAGCTCACAGGCACTGAGACATGAGCACTCCGGCAGCTTGGCCCTGGCTGGTTACCTCGCAGGGGTGGGCCTGCCATCTGCTGGGGCCACGGGGCGCCAGCCTGCGTGTGACCAGTCAGAGCATCCAGCCCAAGTGCCCGCCCCTCCTGTTACTAGGGAAAGATGAGGGTAAATTTGGGGATGCCAAGGAGTTTTCCCTGGTTTTTGCCCAGCCCCTCCCTGTCACACGTGCCCCACTCACTCGAGCCTTCCCGCCCATACTCCTCAATGCAAAGCCCCCACTTGCTCTGGGGGCTGGTGGCTTTTGCCTGTGAATCAGGACCTACGCGTGTCACTGGGATGCTGTCCAGGGGTTGAAGAGGCTTTATTAGGCTGAGATGCTGCTGCTGCTCTTGAAAGCCAGCCCAGGTGCCAGGATGGGCCAGGTGTCCCCATCCCCAGTCCCTGTGCTCACCACGGTGCTGCACTCGACAGGTTACCTGGCCCCACATGGGGGCATTGTGCCAGGGGAAGTGGAGTTGCCACCTGGCACCTGGTGTGCAGGGAGGCTGGGAGAGGGCTGGTGGTACCAGTGCCAGCTTCTCAGTTGGCAGGAGGATACTGAGCAGGACGCATGTCACCCTGGGCAGCCTGAGAACTGCTGGCCCTTTCCTGTGAGAGCATTATAACCCCACCCACAGGCCACCTGCCCCTGCCGCCCCCTGGGCAGTTTATCGTCCCCGTCAGTCATGGTGCCTTCTGTTCTTTCTCCAAGGTGGGCAGAACAAGGGCCGTGGGGTCCATGGCACAGCAGAAGCCTCAGTGGTGGTGACACGGCCAAGGTCACCCAACTGGCCTTCCTTTACTCACTGTAGGCTACTGGGGATCTGTCGGACTGATGCCATTTCCAGGGTCCCTGATCTCCTGGGCACGCTTTCTGCCTTGGGGACCCTTTCCCGGCCTGGTCTCTTCATCTGCTCTCCCATTTCTTCTTGGGGGTGGCTGTGGGGAGTGGCTGTTGATGAGCCTGGAGAGGTGTTGGGGGCCATGGTGGCCTTTCTGCTCATAGATTGGAGCACTGTGGTGCGGGGTCCTGGGCACAGTGGGTGGGCTATGGGAGGAATGACTGTCATTAGCGTCAGTGACAGGGCAGCTCTGGCGCCTGCTGCTCTGGGGGGCCGGCCAGTGTACTACTTTTCACCTCTGTCGCCTCTTGGGACTCTGCCCTCCATGGCGGCTGTCCAGCTTGGGGACAGGACCCCCTGGGCCAGCATCTGTGTCCAGTTTTCATGTGTGGGAGCATGTGCATGGCCACGTGTGTATGTCCTTGGTTTCCATGCACCTGTGCCTACCTCTGTGCACGAGTGTACACACGAGGGTATGTGCACGCCTACCTGAAGCATGGGGCCCTTGGGGAATGGCTGTGGTGTGAGCACACGAGTTCTCAGGCTGATGCCCTGACTTCCGTCTGGTCCAGGCCCACATTCCTCCCCAGCATCCCTCTTGCTGCCCCCCATTTCTGCCTAGACTCCCCCCATTTCTGCCCAGACCGTCAGTACTCTGGTGGAGGGGATGACAGGTGGGTTCAGGTGGGAGAGGTTTGGCCCTTCCCTGGTCCCAATGCCGGGTTCAGCCCAGGGTCTGACTTCCCAGCTCACACTGGGTGGGTCCCCATGTCTCCCATCCTCCCCGACCTTCCCAGTCTGCCACCTAAGGGGTGCACAAGGAGCTGTTTCTGTGTCTCCCAAATGGGGAGGGGAAGGATAAGAAGGGAGGGGAGAAGTGTTCCTGTAGCATGGTCACGTGGGTGCCCGACATCTCACGTCAGGCTGCAGGAGCGGGCTGGGGGTGGGAGCCGGAGGCGGGCAGGGAAGTCCCCAGCTGCATGCTGCTTTCCTCATCACACATCCTTCGCTCTGACCACAGGGCATCCCTGTGCCAGGCTGTGCACATGCTAATGCCCAGCTGGTGAATTCCGGCAGTGCCAGCAATGGGCAGGTGCATGGAGGGAGAAGATTCCCAGCCATGAGCAGGGGCCCCCACCCCACATCGACCCTGGGGCCCCCACTCCAGCCAAGGCTAGTAGGCTGTGAATGCAGAACGCACCCCTGCTGCCCGCCGGGTTTCAGGAGTGGGGGGTGATTTGAGTCAGAGCATTGCCCCTGAGTGATGAGCCATGTTGTGCCAGTGGTTGGGGAGTAGCCCCTCTGCCCTGTATCCTGACCTCCAGTCAGCGCCTCCTGTGTGGGACCCCCACTTGCCGGGAGCCCTTTAGCCCCTTCTGTGCTTGCCTTGGCCTGCGTGTGGGGGGGGGAAGCTATGGGGCAGGGGCCAGAGACCCCATTCCCTCCTGCCCCCTCTCCCACCGCAGGTCCCACAGGAGTCTGGGCAGCTGGCTGCCTGAATCAGTTCTATATTTGGCCAGAGAGCACATGGGTGGGGGACCAGCCAGTGGCCGAACTCTGACAGCTGGAGGTGGGGCAGCTGGAGGCCTGGGCTCTGGCGGTGGGAGAACCTGGGAGGGCAGCATCCCAGTGGGGGTGCCAGCATCCCCCCGATGCTCAGGGCCAGCTTCTTACCCCCACCCACCATTTCCTACATGCCCTTCTCCATCCGGCTGGTCCTCACAGCAGTCTCTTCTCCCACAGACCGGTGTCCTCCAGAAACAATGGGTGTCGCTATATCCAGCGAGGACCCTCTCAGGCTCCAGTGCTCCGTCTAAGCAAGGGTCCCCTTCCAGCCCTGCTCTCCCCGTCTGTCATGGCCACACCTGGCTGCTGCCCACTTGCCTGGGGACGTAGGGCACCCAGCCCCAGCCCTGAGAGCTCAAGTCCAGTCCTCTGGCTCTGCCCCACAGGGGGGCTTCGGGCACCAGGCGCCTCTCAGAGCCAGAGAGACTGATGCCGTGGGACCAGCCCCGGCCCAGCTGTCGCCCGCCTGGCACTGCCCGTCTGGAGACCTGTGCTCTGGGTCTGCCTGGAGGTGCCAACCCTGCGAACCCCTCCCCTGTCCCCCGATGCTGAGAAGGCCCTGCCCGCCCCTACCATGTGTGAGGTGATGCCCACAATCAAGGAGGGGGACCCCCTGGGCCCCCCCCACGGCGCCGACGCTGACGCCAACTTTGAGCAGCTGATGGTGAACATGCTGGATGAACGGGAGAAGCTGCTGGAGTCCCTTCGTGAGAGTCAGGAGGCCTTGGCGGCCACGCAGAGCCAGCTCCAGGACGCCCTCCACGAGCGGGACCAGCTCCAGCGTCACCTGAACTCCGCGCTCCCCCAGGTGAGGCCCGAGCCCAGCGTCCTGGGGCCCTCAGCCCATCTGCGTCTAAGTTGCATGTCAGCAAACGGGGCTCACAGGCGTCACTGCCTTCGTGTCCCCGCCACTCCCAAGCATCTCAGTCTGCAGTTGGCTTCACCCGGAGAAGCGGCTGGACTCTGTGGGGAGAAACCCAACTGCAGCGAGCCCGTTCGGCCGGCAGGTGGCGCCACGGCGGGGAAAGGCCTCAGCGCGGCCGGCCCGCTCCTCCCCAGACCTGTTCTCGCGGGGGGTGGGCGGAGCCTCAGCGGTGCCCAGTCGCCTCCCTTAGTGCTCAGATGAGAAACCGGGAGGCGTCCCGTGCAGAACTGGAGGCGGAGCTGGACCCGGAAGCCCGGGGTCTGCACAGCCTCCAGGCCTCCTCAGCAGCACCATGGCCAGCAGCAAGGCCCCGCCGACGTGTCCTGTGCGCTCAGCTCCTCTCGAAGTTCTCACAGCTGTGAAGCTGGCACTGTTATCGCAGACGATGACACGAAAGCTCGAGCGCAGTGCTTAGTTGCTGGTGACCGCCCAGCCTGCGGGCTCGGTGGGGGCAGCCCAGGAGTTAGAGGCTGGGGGCTCAGCTCCAGGCCCTTTACCACCTGGGGAGGACCGCCTGGGCATGGGTGGCAGAGCCTCCTGCCCTGCTCAGGGTCTTGAGATGCTTTGTCAGTAGGCAGATGGGGTCCTGGTGAAGCACTGGGGTGGGAGGTGGGCCGTCCTACTCCACTGCAGGAGGTCCGAACGGGTCCTAGCGTGGCGGAGCCATCGCCGCCCCGCAGCTCATTAGCAGAACCCAAGTGACTGGAAGCGAGCAGTGCCCGTGACGGAGCACTGCCTTTGGTGGCCTTGTGCTGCGTGCTTTCCATTCATTGGCTCACTGGATCCTCCTGGTGACACCTGAGGGAGACACCTGTGTCTCGCAGATTAGAGGGTGCAGGTTCAAAGACATTAGGTGACTTGTCCTAGGAGTTTCTTGAGGACAGGGGCCACGCCTGCCTTGTCCCTGTGTTCCCAGAGAGCAGCACAGGACCCGGCGTGTGAGAGGTGCTCACGGTGTTTGTGAGTGAATGATGGGTTCCCAAGTGGCGCTGGTCACCTCTGCTCCCAACAGTGTCAGAGCAGGGAGCGCCTCCCCCGGGAGTCTGAGGAGTCCCACCCAGGCGCATCCTTTGAGATGGGCTTTGAAAGATGGCTGTGATTTCCTCAGGTGGTGACAGAGGGCTGGGCTCTTTCATTGAGCAAATGTGTGGCATTAGGAAGGCTTGCTGGTGACTGGAAACAGCAGGGGACCCAGGTCGACCAGGCCTTAGGGTGAACGAAGCTGGAAAGCGAGGATAAGAAGTTTGTGCTTGACGCTGTAGACGAGCTTTGGGACAGCATCTGGCAGAGGCGTCCTGGGGTGGGTGGGCCAGGCAGGGGCTGGGCGGGGAGGAGAGAGCACCCATCCTCTGCTGATGGTGCCCTGACGTGGGGCTGGGGTCTGCCATCGAGTCCTGTCTCTGGGTGCGAGTGTGTCACATGTACATGTGTGAAAGCTCGGGCACGACCCGGACCAGGGCCAGGCCTTCCAGGGCTGAGATGCTTGACGCCTTTGCCCATGGCCTTGGTAGAGAGGCAGTTATCAAGGAGCAGGGTCTGAGGGCCGTGGCTTCTCAGGCTCTGGCCTCTCTGGGTCCCTTGTCCCCTTCCCACAGCCTCTGTTCAGTCACTCCCAGACCCTGGGAAGCCACAGAATTTGGGCCACTTCTCTGAAAACCTTTCTGGAGTGAGGTGATATCTAATGAAATATATAGGATACGATGGGCCTGGATCTGTGGGGCCAGCCTGTCACCTCTGTGTGCTGTCCTAATAGAGAGGGTGGGCTGCAGAGGTCTCTGCAGTGCCCCTCAAAGGGATGCCAGCCTGGGTTTGGGTCAGGCCCAGCAAGTGGCTGGCATCACGGCCAGAGTGCAGCCTTATACCGAGTGAGCAGGGACCCCAGAAGCCAGAGCCGAAGCCACCTGGCTGGCTGGGTGGACCTGCACACTCTCCTTGTAGGTGGGTTCTTCAGTCCCATCTCACTGGCCACTGGCAGCTTGCAAAGCCCTGGGGAGGAGGGAAAGGCCCCTGGGCTCTCACTTCAGAGCCCCCTTCTCTTCCTTCTGTAATGTCCATTAGGCTCTGCCCGGACCTTACTGTGCCAAACCAAAAGCAAAACTCCCCTCCACCAGCTTCTAAAGGGACATGCCATTGGATTGCTGGGGAAAAAGACCCACAAAATGGCAGGGAGGACACCAGGTTACGCTGGTGGCTGGAGGGGGATGGAGCTGCAGAGCAGACGGACTTTCTGGCTCTTGTATTCATCCCTGTCCCCTCACACCCTTGCACCCTCCTGTGCACTTGGAGTGTGTGAGGACCCAGAGCTGTGGCCCCCTTGGGAAGCATGTGCTCACCGTGGGCCTGCCGCCATGCCAGATGGAGAGGGCTGCCTCTGGGCAGGTGGTGGGAGTAAGGGATGGGTGAGAGGGCCCCACCATTGCTTTGTGCATGCAGCACCCTGCTTGGGGCATGTCCCATGCACTGAGGGGCCTTGGGGTTTTCAGGAATTTGCCACCTTAACCCGGGAGCTGAGCATGTGTCGGGAGCAGCTTCTAGAGCGGGAGGAAGAGATATCAGAGCTGACAGCAGAGCGGAATAACACGAGGGTAAGGGGGGACCTGGAGTGTGTGTGTGGGGCTGTGGACCCCTTGGCCAGGTCGGCACATCCCTGCCCTGTGTGCTGGGGTAACGGTTGGAAGTCTCCATCGTTCACATGTAGTCGGGGTTCTAAGAGAGAGGCCAGGATAGCCGGCTTGGGGCGGTGTTCACCTGGAGCAGCAGCTGCTGGCCAGCATGGAAGTATTTGAGCACTTGAACAATGGCACAGACGGGGCACCCAGTCTACCCAGCGAGCCCGTGGGCACTCCGGTCACCCTGTACACAGGCCCACAGCCCTCCTCTCACCTCCCTGCTCCCTGCCAGCTGCTTCTAGAGCATCTGGAGTGTCTGGTGTCCCGCCATGAGCGGTCCCTGCGGATGACCGTGGTAAAGCGCCAGGCCCAGTCACCTTCCGGGGTCTCCAGTGAGGTGGAGGTGCTGAAAGCCCTCAAGTCGCTGTTTGAGCACCACAAGGCCTTGGATGAGAAGGTACCCAGCCTGCCCTGCAGCCAGGGTCCCTGCAGCCTCTGGTCCCTTCTCTGCGATGTCTGTGTCCTGTGTTTGGGGCAAACTGCCTTCTAGCTAGTCCTTCTCCTACTGGCCGTTTCCAGGGGCTCCTGTTAGGGTCCCTCAGTTTGTCTCTTGGCACATCCTGGTCCGCCTCACACCCAGCAGTGGTAGACCCAGCCCAGACTCCTCTAGCCAGAGCCCAGAGGAGCCTCCACGTCTCCCTCCATCTCCCCTTGCCTTCCTACCTCGGGCAGGTGCGAGAGCGGCTTCGGGCAGCCCTGGAGCGAGTCACCACCTTGGAGGAGCAGCTGGCAGGTGCCCACCAGCAGGTAAGCGGCCTGCCCATCCTCCATCTGCATACTGCGGCCCCTGGAGCCAAGGCTGGTGCTCCCCTTTGCCCCGCTCTGCTCCCCATCGGTTTCTCCCCACGGTCCTGGCTGCAGACTGCTGGCCGAGGGGAGGTGGGGCACCTGTCTGGGAGGCGGGGGACCCAAAAGGGTGTGGAACATATGACAGGTTCTCTTGTCTGTGACTCACTGCCCCGGGGGCTGTGCCCTGCAGCAGGGGGCAGGGGTTCAGGATGGAGTGGCAGGAGACGAGGGGACTGTGCAGCTGGGACCGAAACGCCTGTGGAAGGTGGGTCTTGGGGAGCCATGTAGTAGGGGGCATGCCTTCCCTGAGACAGGCTCAGAGGGCCCTGCCCACCTTATTCAGGAGCAGCTGCTTGAGTTAAATGTGGGGCTTTCGCCAGTATCCTCTCTCCTCTTTCTGCCTTCCCCCCGCCCTGCGGAGAAGTCTATAGATTGTTGGTTTAGTGACCAACTCACTGCTAGACATGTCATGTGCTTGTCCGCTCAAATTGTTAGGGGCCCTCTACCTGTGTGTCAGCTTCAGGTGAGGTCCCTTCTCTCTCTGAGCCTTTGTCCCCCTAGTCATGCCGTTCTCGGTTATAAGAGGCGGAGATGGCAGGTGAAACTACAGACTTGCTTTTCGAGAGATACACAGGAGAGCGAGGATGTCTGTCATTGTGTGGAGTGAGCTCTGAGGCTAGGGTAGAGCTGTCCCTGCCCCTACCTCCCTGGGTGGGGCAGGGAGTGGGATGTCCTGGGCTCCAACGGCCAACTGACAGCTCGCTGTCCCTGGAGGATGATGTGGGTCGGGTGCAGGAGCTGCAGGAGCTGCTGGAGAAGCAGAGCTTTGAGATGAGCCAGGCCCGGGAGAGACTGGTCACCCTGACTGCAGCTGTCGCTGAACTGGAGGAGGACCTGGACACGGCCCGCCGGGACCTCATCAAGTCAGAGGAGCTGAGCAGCCGGCACCAGCGGGACCTCCGGGAGGTGGGCAAAGGCCTGGCCTGCCCCCCGTGCCGGGTGCAGGCCTTCAGCCCTCAGGAGGGCAGCCACTTGGATGCCCTGGGTGGCGGGAGGGCCGGCTGAGGACTGGGAAGTGTGACTGAACACTTGGTAGGTTCAGATGGGGGCAGGAGTGGCGGGAGGGACAGGTCAAGGCCAGACACTGGCCGGGCAGTGTGGAGAAGATACAGCTGTTGGTGGGGAGGTGCAGACAGGACGGGGGCAGGGAGAAGGTGATGACCTCCCACCTGTCCCCTCGTCTCCCGCCCAGGCTCTGGCCCAGAAGGAGGACATGGAGGAGCGGATCACCACACTGGAGAAGCGCTACCTGGTGGCTCAGCGTGAGGCCACATCCATCCATGACCTCAACGACAAACTGGAAAACGAGCTGGCCAATAAGGCGTCCCTGCACCGCCAAGTAAGTCCTCCAGGTGGTGGTGGGAGGCCTTGTACTTGAACTTGGGGTCTTGGTCATGCTGGAATCTTCGCTTGGTGGCCCAGGAGCCACTGGGGTCCTGCAGGTCACCCTGGGAAAGGGGAAGTCAGGCCTCTGGGGCAGCCGAGAACCAAGCTTGTTTCTTGCTGCTTCCTGGCCTGGCGCCTGCTCTCTGCTGAAGCTGGGTGGGGCGGGGGGGAGGGCTTCCGTGCTCCCCCTTAGCTCTCCTCCCTGCCCCGCTTTGCCAGTGTGAGGAGAAGGCACGACACCTGCAGGAGCTGCTGGAGGTGGCAGAGCAGAAGCTGCAGCAGACGATGCGCAAGGCCGAGACGCTGCCCGAGGTGGAGGCCGAGCTGGCCCAGAGGGTCGCAGCACTCACCAAGGCACGTGGCCAGGGCCCGGGCTCTGCCTGTGCCCCCGCTTCCTGAGCTCTGTGGAGCCAGACCGTCAGTGCCGGGAGTGGGAGGCTCGTGGGCCACAGCCGGAAACCGCTTCTCATGGTGCGACTCCAGGAAGCTGTCTGTCAGTTGGAAGAGTAGTCCTTGCCCTCATGTTTTCCACCTCTTACATTCCGTAAGAAGGGGTGTAAAGCACTTTGAGAAGTAGAAGAGACTGTATGGATGCAAATTATTTTTATGATTATTTACATTTTGTGGTCAATACTTCCTTTGGTTTGGGTCTGGAGTGGAAAAGTTAGGACTTTCATCTCTGGAAGCATGAAATCTGAGAGGACATAGGATCAAAGTCTACACTTCCTGAAGAGGGTAGGGGTGGAATTTGACTGAACTTATCAAATTGAAGCATTCTACATCTAGGGACCACCCCTGGTTGCTTGAAGGCTGGAGCTTTAGGATGAATAAAAGGGAATATGATTTTACCCAATAGATAGTTAACTTTAAGGAGTAATAATTCGTTAGAGGTGTGCAGGCTGAAAGCTCAGGCTCTGGATGAGCTGGCTGAGGGCATGGATTAATGAAGAGAATTTAGGAGTGTTTGCAGCTGGGCAGAGGCTTTCAGGGGGGCCTCACTGGAATCACCATTGCTACCCTCCAACCCATGGAGAGAAGGAAACCAGTATAGTAAGCATCAGGCCCCAGCGCCTGTGTGGCAGCCTGGGGGCTTTGGGGATGGACCCCACAGCCTGGCTGTACCTTGATAGACCCAGGACCAAGTCTGCTTCTGCCACTGACTGGCCCTGTGACCTGGGAAAAGTCATTTCCTCCCTAGTTGGTGCCAGTGTCATCTCTATGATGTCACCATTGTCTCTATGATGACATCATTGTATCTATGACATCATGGCTATGATGACACCATTGGTTCTATGATGACATCGTCATCTCCATGATGATGGGGCTGGACTTGGTGGTCTCAAAGGACTTTCCAACCCCTACGAATGAAGGGCTGGGTTTAAAGTGTACCAGAGGATGTTACGATGCTGAGCAATTAGCTTTAGTGTGTCCCAAAACTGACAAGAAGGGATGGGCAGAAGTGATTAATTTGTTCCAGTGAGTCACAGTAGGAGGGCTTTCCTGATTGTAAGATGTGTGGTGGTCTGGAATGTCTTGTCAGCAGAAACAGTGGGGTCTCAGTGTCTGGAGACATGTGAATAGAAGGGGAGACCTGTCTGCCTAGGCTGGTATAACAGCAAAACTATTATATAATAATATAGTATAATATTATATAAATATATAATAATAACCATGGCTCATGCTTGTTGAGCGCTAATTGTGTCCTAAGCGTTGGCCATAGATTGTTTTATTTAGTGCTCGCAGTGGTATGAGGCATTGGTGCTGTCATTATCCACATTTTGCAGTTGACAAAACTAATTTCTTAAGAAACTTAAGTTCCTAAGCACATGAGTTACTAAGGGAACTGGCCCAGGGTCACAACTGGGAAGGGAGGGAGCCAGGATTAGAAGGCAGTTCAGCTTGAATCCACGCACTGAGGTGGAGGCCCAGCCATCTGGAGGCATAGATGCTTTCTTTCATGTGAAGTTTTTTTCTGGAAGTGTGTGGGGAATTTAGTCTCTTGAAATGCCAGCTCCATGATGTTTTAAGGCAGGCCCTGAGCAGGAAGAAGGGGTGGTGATGACAATTCTGCTCCAAGATGGCAGGGGAGGGCTGGGCTGTGTTGCTCCCTGAGGCTGTGATCCCCAAAGGCCACCCTGGAACCGGGGTGCATGAGACAGAAGGCCTGAGGGGGGGCAGATGTCTGCGGCTGCGCTGACCTGCCCCTGCCCGCAGGCTGCAGAACGGCACGGCAGCTTTGAGGAGCACGTCCGGCAGCTGGAGGACCAGCTGGAGGAGAAGAAGCAGGAGCTGGCACGGGTGAGGGCCTGGCTGGGCTCTGAGCGTCCTCCCCACCCCACCGCTGGCTTCCCAGGTGGCCTGTGGCTGGGGCTCGGAGGAAGTGGGAGCTGGGGAGGGACTGGCTGGCTGGCACAGAGACACAGGGGGCGGGAGGAGCAGGGCGGGCTCCCCAGGGTGAGCTTGGGAAAGGCGAGCAGGGTGACTCCCAGGGAGGGCAGCAGGATGGCCCTGCGGTGACTCGTGCGAGGCGGGCCGGCTGTGCAGGTGCGCCAGCGGGAGAAGATGAACGAGGACCACAACAAGCGGCTGTCAGATACGGTGGACCGGCTGCTCAGTGAGTCCAACGAGCGCCTGCAGCTGCACCTCAAAGAGCGCATGGCAGCCCTGGAGGAGAAGGTGCTGTGGGCGGGCCCATGGGCGGGGCTCTGTGGAGGGCGGGGCCAGACGGGCCCGGAGGGGCGGGACTTCTGGGAGGGTGGGGTCGGGACTTGAAGGGTCAGTCCCGGGGCCTGGTCTGGGACGGGACCAGTGAGCACTGGGTTGGAGAAGGGAGGAGCTGGCCGTCCTGGAGAGCCGACCCGAGGGACAGAGCCGGGCAGGGTCCGTGGCTCATGGCTGTTCTCCCCCAGAATACCTTGATGCAGGAGCTGGAGAGCTCCCAGCGGCAGATTGAGGAGCAGCAGCATCACAAGGTACCCAGCTGCTGGCAGCCCGCCAGCCTGGGAGGCACGGCCTCCTGGTCCCAGCCGCTGCCCTGGGGCCCGGCACAGAGCAAGCCCATTGCCAGTCCGCGCACACAGTCTCTCACTAACCCTCACTGGAGCGGGCACAGTAGATGCTTCCCCCCCCCCATAGAAAGAAGAGTCAGGCCGCAGCATAAGGCACAGCATAGGCAGCAGAGACCCAGTGAAGGACTCAGCAGAAGGATTTGGTGGTGCCCCAAAGTGGCTGAGGCAGGAGTCCAGTGATTCTGGGAGGGCCAGCCGCTGTGCCTGCCTCCGCAGTGTTAGCGAGGTCTGGAGGGCATGGGCCCTCTGCTGCCCAGCCCTGTGTCCCATGCGGGGTGTGCTGGTGAGGGACCTGCAGCCCTGCTCTGGGAGGGTCCTTCCCCAGGCAGACCCCTCTCCTGTCCTGCTCCCTGCCCGCCTGCTGCTGCCCTTGTGGTCACACTTCAGTTGGACCTCGTCTCTCCTGGTGTGATCCGTGGCCTGGCCTGGCGCCCCTGGCGTTGGACTTTGCAGGGCATTCTTCTGCCTCTCCCTGACTCTGCTGTCCTCTTTGTCCCCCTCTCCCCTCTCTGCCCCACCTGGCCCCTACTCCCACCTGGTCTGCCTGGCACAGGGCCGCTTGTCTGAAGAGATCGAGAAGCTGCGCCAAGAGGTGGACCAGCTGAAGGGTCGAGGGGGGCCGTTTGTGGACGGCATCCACTCCAGGTACTGGAGCGTGGGCGACTGGGCGTGCTGGGATGGGTCCTGGGTGGACCCTGAGGAGAGAGACTTCCTCCCACCAAAAGACCGCTCAGGACCTCAGGGTCCTCCTCCTTTTCAGGGGGAACATTGAGGGTCGGAGAGCTTGGTCGCTGGGCAGTTTGGAAGGGAGCGCCTGGGCTCCGTGGGGTGCTCAGAGGCATGCAGACACAGGAGCCCTCCGCGGAGGCCACGGACACAGGCCGTGCTTCCTGACCGAGGGCTCACCCGTGCCCCCGGCCTGCGCACGGAGAGTGTCTGGCTCACTCTCGTTCATCTGAGACAGCGTCTCAGGGGTCTATGGATGGCTGTTTCCTTGAGGACCACCTAGGTTCAGGAGGCAGGCAGAGATTGGAACGAGGCATCAAGGACGTCCTTACTGTCACCCGCATAGTTGCGACACCCCTTTTCCTGAAAACATTTTAAGAGATGGTGAGTGGAGCTTTCCACTTCATACTTGAATTAGGCTGGTGTTTCAGGAAACTTCTGGATTTTTCTCCGTATTTTTGGAGACATCGACACTGAACTCAGACCGCGAGGCTGCTCTCATTAAGTACCATCTTCATGTTTGTCAGGAATTGGGTACAGGAGTGTGGAGAAAAGCGGGGAACGAGACAGAAAACAGCAGCTAGCCTTCCTCCCACTTCTCCCTTCCCATAGGTTGCTCAGAAGAGACTAGCCACCCCCTCCTCCATGGATGAGATATGGTCCACAGCACACCAAACTTTCCTTAATGGTTGGGGATTCTTGGCTTTGACCATAGAGTCACTGGACTCGGCCTGGAATTGGTGCTGCGTTCCGGGGGGGTGGGGGGAGGTAAGGGAGGACAGGGAGAGGCAGGAGCTCGCCTTTCCCTCCAGCTGCCTTGTGTAACCCGTTGGAGGTTCCCCCCACCCCCGTCCCTTTGCTCTGGGCTTGCCCAAGGGTTCCAAGCTGGGAGGGCACCCAGACATCGCACAGGATCATTACTGGGACCCTAAAATCTCAAGGTTGGAATAAACCCCTGGGGCAGTGTATGTCCCTGGTGCAGTGTCAGGGCCTCCTGAGGCTTCCTGGGACTGGGGAGTGTGCCTGGGTGGAATGTTGGTCAGGGCGCCATCCAGATTATGGGGAGACCCAAGGAAAGTTGCTGGGAAGAAGACCAAGAAACAGACCCTCAGAGTTCAAGGCCCTGAAGAGATCACCCCTTCCGACCTCTCGGTGCCAGGAGCCCTTCCACACCATCTTGTCCGAGGGCCGGAGCGCCTCTGCTCGAATGCCTCTTCGATGGGAAGCTCGGCTTCCTCACAGCGCCCAGTTGCATCATGAGCCAGGCTCTGGCATTCGAAGGTGCTTCTTATGAATGGAAGGCTGGCTCCCTAGAACGTTCCCCCGGAGCACCAGGGAATAAATCAAGCTCTTGCTTACATGGCGGCCCCAGAACACATCACTCTCTGTCCTGCTAAGACTCCTCGAAGCTGAAGACCCTCCAGTGCGTGGGCCCAGGGGGTGTGAGCTGGGCCTCAGGCCTCAGGGCTGTCTTCTCTCTCCGTCCCTTCCACGCAAGGTCGCGCCCGGGCAGTGCGGTGGACGTGCGGTTCTCCCTGAGCACAACCAGCCATGTGCCCCCAGGCCTGCATCGCCACTACTCGGCACTGCGGCAGGAGCCTGCCAAGGTGAGTGGCGAGCGGTGGGCTGAGTGTGGGGGCGTCCCCCGGGGAGTGTGGGGTCAGTTCGGCCGTGTGCCTGGCTCCAGTTTCACAGACGGCTGGCGTGGGGTGCAGATCCTCTCCCGGCCCTCCCCTGTGTCAGCGACAGCTGCAGCCCTGGGGCTGGGGCCTTTGTCAGCTGCAACAGCTGTGTCCCCCTCGCCTCAGCCTCCTGGTGGGCGAGGTAGGGGCTGGCGGGCGGCCAGCCATCCTCGAGGCCCCACTGAAGCGTGTGCACGTGTGCCTGAGTGTGCGGGCGTGTGGTCGGGGCGGGGGATTCAGGGGCATGACAGAATCAGCAAGCTTTCTGGAACAAAAGCTGTGGTTGTGGTTGTGGGAGATGAGGGCCGGATGACAAGCTAAGTGGCCCTTGGGTGGCTCCTTACACGTCCTGAGAAGCAGCTGTGAGTCCCTGCTGGGCCTGCCTCAGGAGACAGAGGACCAGGAGTGATAGGGGCAGTTGGGTGCCTTCCTGGCCCTGTAACCGTTGGCCGTGCTGTGTCCTGAGCCTGTTCGTGCCCCAGGGCCCTCGAAGGTGCAGGAGTAGCAGGAAGGACACTGGGCTGGGGTTCACAGTCTGAAGGGGCCTCTTCTCTGTCCCCTCACTCCTTTCCTCTTCCTCTTCCTAAGAACACAGCAGCTGCCCAGGAGCCCCTCTGTCCCTGCCTCCTTCCTTTCCTGCCTCGTCCTTCTGCCTCTCCCAGCTTGGTTCTGTGTGCTCTCCTCTTCCGGGCCTTTGTCCACCGAAGAGGTTTGCAGGATGGTTTCTGAGACGCTCCCAGAGGGTCCTGCGAGGTGCTGGACCTGGGACAAGGACAGGCCTGCTGGGCCTTCTCTGTTCCCTGGGCCTTGTCTCTATGAACATATGAACATGCCAGCTTGTGCCAGGCCCTGTGCTGAGAGCTTCAGTCCTCACAGGTGCCCGAGCAGTAGGTACTGTGCCCCCATTTCACACATGAGAAGACTGAGGCTCGGGAGCCTAAACCACGTTTCCATACTTTTCCATGACTGCACGGCTGGTGTCTGGGGGAGCCAGGCTTAGGCGCAGCAGCCTGCCCAGCTCCCAGAGGCGATTCAGTAGCATTTCTTAGACTTTGATGTGCAGATAAATCACCCTGGATCTTGTTAAAATGCAGATTCTGCATGTTGGGTCTGGGGTGGGCCTGAGACTCTGCATTCCTAACATGCTCCCTGGAAGCCCCGCTGCTGCTGGCCTGGGTGGGGCGGGTCCTGCTCCTCAGCCGCGGGGACGTCTCATTGCCAGCCTTCTCCCCTCCTCCTTTGCCAAGGACTGGGAGCTGTCTCCACTGCCTGGAGCGCTGGCCCCCACGGCCACCCCTGCGTTTGACTGTGACCCTGAGATATCTGACGTGGAGGAGGGTGAGCCCGGGGGTCTGCGTGGCTCCCTGGACATGGCCTCCCCCAGCAGCCACTCTGACGCCCAGACCCTGGCCATGATGCTGCAGGAGCAGCTGGACGCCATCAACGAGGAGATCAGGTCAGGGCCGGTTGCTGCGGGAGGACGTCTGCGTGAGCTGGTTCGCCTCTCACAGTGGCTCCTTAGAGCGCCAATCTAGGGGGCCTGCATGGGGCCAGGCCGTCCTGGCCCAGGACTGGCCCTGAGGGGCAGGACTTCCGCTAGACCTCTCAGCTTCAGTCCCCTCCCTGTAGTCTCCCCCACTCAGGCCGCCTTGAGATGAGCACTTAAGATGCTGTTGTCACTCTAAGCACAGCTCCGGGGGGAGGGGGGGGGGAGGCAGCACTGTGTCCCTTTTACAGACAAAGGAGCACAAACTAGCGCCCTTAACTGATTTGCCTAAAGTGAGTGGCAGAGCCAGGCTTCAGGCTGGGGCCTCAACTCAGGGTCCGTCCCTACAGAAGCCTGTGGCAGGGAAAATTATTGATGGCATTCTGTAGAGAGTTTATTAATGTTTATGACCAACGATGAGGGAAAATCTGAGCAAGAGAACTTCAGCTTTTCAGGGCTGGAGGCGTCCGGGACGTTGGTTCCCACACCGTGGCTCTCACGGGCCACTTGAAAGAAAACGTTCCACACACAGAGAAGGGAACTGACACAGGACCGCCAGCTTTATTCCACCAAGTAAAACACGCACGATAAGTGCTATTTCCTGCCATAGCCATTCTGCACAAGCAGAGCATTTAACACCCTAAAGTTGGAAAGCCATACTCGTCATAAAGGCAAGTCCTGCTCCTCAGGTACAGCTGGCATTGCTACATCTGCGTGCGTGGCACATGTGTGTGTGAGACGGGCGTACACATACTCCTCTCCGAGTGCTCCCCCCCCATACCATGTTCTCATTATTCTCACTTTTCCTGAACTGGGAAAATGCCATTGGGTCAGCATCAGTTAAAGGTTCTGTGTTTGGGGACGTAGAGCACTGCTGACATTGGGACGCTGAGCCCAGGCAGCCCAGTGCCTGATGGGTCACCCCACAGGAATCTGCCTTCAGGGTGGTCTGTGCCGCCACTGCCTAGAAGGCACCCTCCTGGCACCCGCCCTGTTAAAGTGGGGAGTTTGTTGCCTAAGCCAGCCAGCGAGAAACGGGAGCGGAAGCTGCGGCGGCGCGGAGCCCGCTGTGCCTGCCGGCCTGCGTGCCCAGCGGGGTCAGGACCGCCTGCCTCCCGCTGGCCCCGGGGGCTGACGGTCCCGCCATCTCCAGGATGGTCCAGGAGGAGAAGGAATGCACGGAGCTGCGGGCAGAGGAGATCCAAACGCGCGTGACCAGCGGCAGCTCGGAGGCCCTCGACCTGATCCAGCTGCGCCAGCGCGGCCCCATCCCCACCTCTCTGACCGCCCTGTCTCTGGCCAGCATGTCCCCTGCACTGAGCGGCCGCTCCAGCCCGAAGCTCACCTCCCGCAGTGCTGCCCAGGACCTGGACCGCATGGGGGTCATGACCCTGGTGAGAGTCCTGGGACAGCAGAGGAGCAGCCCTGGCACTGCTGGGCTCTGCTTTGGGGGCTGGCACAGGGAGGTGATTGGCGTCCTCTGGGTGTGGGATAGGCCTGTGTCGCATCCTCCTGAGCCCGTCCTTTGGACAAGCACAGGACACTTAGGAAACCCAGCTGTTGCCCACACCCCTTCCTCTCTTCCCGAGCTAGCCCTGATTTACTTTCCAGGTCAACTTTTTTGAGCTGTGACATTGTCTTTAGGCCTGTGTGGGGCACTGGGTCCCCTCTTCTCATACCACTGGGCTCCCCTTGGGGTTCACTTTCGGGCTCCCAGAGGGGGAGTCCGAGTTCACCCTCCGCTCTCTCTTCCAGCCCAGTGACTTAAGAAAGCATAGGAGGAAGCTGCTGGTGAGTGCTGCCTGAGGCCAGGCCCGGCCCTGTGCCCCCCACCCTGGCCCCCAGGGACTCCCCACTGCATTTCCCACACCCCTCCGCCTCAGTCTGGGCTGGGTCGGCAGGCCCCAGCTCTCCCTCCACCCCTGATGGCTCCACTGTCTGTTCAGTCGCCAGTGTCTCGGGAAGAGAACCGAGAGGATAAAGCCACCATAAAATGTGAGACTTCTCCTCCTTCCTCACCCAGGACGCTGCGGCTCGAGAAGCTCGGCCACCCGGCCCGGAGCCAGGAAGAAGGCAAGAGGTAAGCGAGCGGCCCCACTGCTCCGCCCCCAGGGCCACCTCACCTGTCCCAGGTGTCTGACCGGCTTACTTCTTGAAGCACCGTCAGGGAAGGACAACCCCGTGTCTGTCTTGGTCACCCTCTCTGATCACACCCCCTCACCCCACCCCAGCCGTGGCGCTGTAAGTGCTGAGGTCTGCCTTCCGTGTCTCCTGCTGTGATTTAAGTGTGTGTCTCTGCCCTGCTCCTGGCTGTGCCGTGCAGTGCTGTGGAGGACCAGGCTAGCAACCCCAGCAGCAGCGGCAGCAGCCAGGACTCCTTGCACAGGGGCACCAAACGCAAAGGCATCAAGTCGTCCATCGGCCGCCTGTTCGGGAAGAAGGACAAGGGCCGGCCGGTGCAGCCGAGCCAGGACGGAGCCGCAGGCCACGGTCTCTGTCCCCTTCCTTGCACATGGGTGTGAGTAGAGGGGGGCCCGAAGCTGGAGGCTGCCCTCGGGCCGCTGTTTACAGTGGGAAGGGCTGCCTCCCACGGTGGCTCCTGCACTAGTGTCAGGCAGCAGGCGGAGGGCTGTTACCTGGTCCGCTGTGAAAGGGTCTCTGTGCCCAGTGGCAGTTGGACCCCTGAGGGCTGTTCTGATGTGCTGTGCTCAGGACCTTCCGGAGGGCCTTCTCGGCTTTCTCTTCAGGAGAATCAGGTCTGGATTAGAACTTAATTCTAGTCTGTCTGGCCTCCAGGACTCAAAATGCCACCCTGCCTCGTTATGGCTTAGTAGATGTTACATTCAAGTAAGTGCCTAGCTGGAATTGCACCCCCTGTGTGATAATGAAGTCCTCGTACGTGCTTGGCACGTGGTAGGTGCACGGTCAGTGCCAGCTGTCTTCCTTCCCTCCCTCCATCTATTTCCCTCATCTATTCAGTCATTTGTTTAACAGGCATTTATTGAGTAACCCGTGGACACAGGCTTAGTATTAGGTCCGTTCCTTCAGGGAGCTCTAATGAAAGGGAAAAATAAGTGATAAGTCCAAGACAGTGCAGTGACAGCAGTGTGCCCGGTGCTTCTGGGACTTAGAACTCAGCCATGGTGCTGGGGTGCCCACGCGCAGCCCTGGGGCTGAAGCTGAAGGAATTTGCCAAGAAGTGGTGTCTGTGGAAAGAGCGTGGGTCTGAGAAAGGCACAGACTCGAGAATGGCAGAGTCGTGTCTGCCGTTGAGTCTGTGTGAGTGGGGGAGGTGGGTTGAACCCTAGGCTAAGGCCAGCTCATAAGGTCTTTGCAAACTCAGTGGAAGAGGTTTACACGTCCCCAAGGTGGAGGAGCATCAGTGACCTCATGCAAGAGAGAAGCCTGATCAGGGAGAAAGGAACCTTGGACCCCAAGGCGTAATTGCATAATTATTCCTTCCTGCACCCAGGAAGGTGTGAATCAGAACACAGCTAGCTGAGCTGGGAGGAGGAGGAAGAGAGGACGGGCACCTGTGCTCAGGGCATGAGCCTCCGCCAGGGACCAGGTGGAGCCGCCGTCCTCTGCGCACAGCTGCTGAGAGGCGAGGTCTGCTTCCGGGAAGAGGCATCGAGTGAGGCCTTCTGATGCCTGTGTCTCCCGCAACGTCGGCACCTAAGACAGCATCTCAAAGTGGTTTCTGGGTGAAGCACACCCACTGCCCTCTGTGAATTCTAAGAGGGTCCCCTTGCCATGAGCTTTCTAGCATTCTGGCATCTGTTCAGGGGACCCTTAGCAAAAGAAGGCAGAGCCGTGCACTTTCCGTAGGCAGTTTTGTGCCCGTGAGACACCCTGAGAAAGACACCGTATCCCCAGCCCGAGCCAGGTCAGGAGAACCCTCTCTGAGCCTCGCAGCCCTTCGTGTACAGCTCTCGGGTCTCCTTGGCACCTTGGTTTGGAGGAGGGACAACTTCTGTCTAGGATTCTGATGCTGTTAGGGTGGCACATGTCACTCCATCCAGCTGGAAAATGCCCCAGGCTGACTCCCGGGGGGACTCTGGGCTGGAGCCACCCACTCAAAGCTACTCTGGGACCACTTAACTGCAGACACGCTGAGTGAGGCTCCAGGAATAATGGGTGGTCCCATCAGGCTCCTGGGTTGTCACGGCCTGCCCCCCAGTCCTGGCCCAGGCCAAGGGAGGAGAAGCAGAGGGTGTCACTGACATGTCATCGCTTCCCTTCCAGTTCTGCTGACAGACTCTGAGCTCGGTGTGCAGGAGCCCATGGTGCCCACCAAGCTGGGGACCCAGGCAGAGAAGGACCGGCGGCTGAAGAAAAAGTAAGCGCCACAGGCCAAGCTGGGCCCCACCCGCGGCCCTGCCCCTTGCTGCTGTGGGACTGAGCTCAGGCAGCCAGAGCCCAGCAAGGCCATCTCTGAACTGAGCTGGCCTGGTCTGTGTAGGCACAGTGGGGCCAGCAGCCCAGGGGGCTGAGGTGTCTGGCACAGCAGACTGAAATGCTGTCGGGTCCTGTCACACAGTGAGATCCCCTCACCCTCGGGGATACACAGGTGTTCCTTCCCTGTGTCTCATCGTCACCGCTCCAGGCACAGAGCAGAGGTGGCAGTCCAAGGGTGGGGAGCACAGGGAGAGGGAGGCCAGCGTTGGGCACAGCCAGGGTCCCGGGAGTCAGCTCGAGGACAAGGAAGGACTGGTGACTCTGTTCCTCTTCCTGCAAGACACCAGCTGCTTGAAGATGCGCGCAGAAAAGGAACACCCTTTGCCCAGTGGGACGGCCCTACTGTGGTCTCCTGGCTGGAGGTAACCGGGGTGGGGCGAGGACGCCTCGGCACGCTTGTCCCCTGCCAGGTGCACACATGCTCCCACACTTACCCGTCCCCCGCGCCCAGCAACACACTGATTACTTTGATGCCGCTGAGTTTGGATAAAGGGCACCCAGTCATCGCCGAGCCATGACTCTCACAGGCTGCTTGAGCCTTCCTGTAGGCTGCCCCCGGGGAGCTGGTCACCCCTGCGTTGCCGGGAAAGCCCTTCACCTGCCTTGGTCTCAGGTTTTTGTTGTAAAATGGGGAACAGGCGCTTGATGGTGGTCGTCTCCACATCTCTCAGTTCCTCTGCTCTGTGTCTGTCTGTTGTGACCGCGGGTGAGGCCTGGCCTCACCTGTCCAGAGGAAGCTGAGTGACTGTGTCCTGTGTGCAGCTCTGGGTGGGGATGCCGGCCTGGTACGTGGCTGCCTGCCGGGCCAACGTCAAGAGCGGTGCCATCATGTCGGCCCTGTCGGACACGGAGATCCAGCGGGAGATCGGGGTCAGCAACGCCCTGCATCGGCTCAAGCTGCGGCTGGCCATCCGGGAGATGGTGTCGCTGACCAGCCCCTCCGCCCCGCCCACCTCCAGGACCGTGAGTGGCCTCCCTCACCTGGGACGTTTTCAGAGGCCCTGGAGTAGTCTTCGCAAAGCCACTGTTGGTCTCTGGGAAAATGGTAGCAGAGTCCTGTCCCCGTTCTTCCCGTCCCCACAAAGGGCTTCACGTGGTTCCAGGAGGGGTGACACTGATGCTAGGACGGTCCCACATTCCACCCAGTGGCCCCACCTTTCCACCCCCTGCTCTGCCAACAGTTCAGATCTTGGCAGCATTCTTAGGATAGGATTTGCGGGGCTCTGTGTTGGTACCAGATTGGGGTGGCAGAGGGATGGGGCGTTGGGAGGTCTGTCTTGGTCCTCTGACCTCTCCCCGGACCCCAGGATGAGACCTCGCCGTCGTCCCAGGCTGCAGCCCTCATAGCCGAACATGCCGTGTGAGCTCTGAGCACCGGGCGCTGAGCTCAGCGGTGGCACACGGCAGTCAGAGTCGCTCAGAGCTGGACGGTGCAGAGCTGTGGGCTGGGCCTGTGGGAGGACTCGACAAGCTTTGTCCTTGTCCTTGGGGCTCCAAGCCTGATGGGGACTCCAGGGGCCCACATGGGGGACCAGCTAGGTTCCCTCTCTGCCTGCAGTCTTCCGGGAACGTCTGGGTCACCCACGAAGAGATGGAAACGCTGGCAACATCCACCAAAACAGTGAGTGTGGCTCTGTGCCTGGGTTAGGGCTGATGTCCTCCAAGCATTGAGGGGAAACTTGTGGGCAGTTGATTGAATATGAGATGGGTGACCCCGATGTGTGACTGGGTGGTTCTCAGGGTGGAGGGTTGGTGGGAAAAAAGCGAGACTAGCAACTGTGTGCACGCATATGTTTCCCTGTGTTATGTGTACGTGTGCACATGTGTATGTGTGAGTATGCATGCATGTGTGCGTGTGCGTGTACTTGCGTGTATGTGTGCATGTATGGGCATCCACAGCTCACCCCAGGAGGCTGCCGCTGGAGCCGGGGTGAACAGAGCCTTGTGGGGCTGGATGCCCGGAGCCGTCACCCTCAGCGTGTGCCTGGCTCCCACTGGAGACACAGGGCGGGTTGGGGCAGCCCGGCTCCCATGCCAGCCGGGGCGGTGTACAGGAGTGTTTTTTGCCACACGCACAACCTGCTCCCCTCTCAGTGCAAACACAGGCTGTCGCACCAGCATTCTGTTTGTCTTCACCACCTGCTGCACTTGCCCTGGTCACCCACCCTTCTGGGGGTGGTGACGCCCTCTGATGGCTTGTTTCCCTCACACGCTGCTTAGGACGGTGAGGAGGGCAGCTGGGCTCAGGTAAGACCCCTGCCCAGGACCCTTGGGGCAGTTTCTTCTCCCAACAGGTCTCCCCCTGCTGGCCCTGCCCCTCATTCATTTGTTGGGGTTTCTCAGGTGGGTGGGTGGCAGGGCTGTGGCCGCACGCCTGCCTCCTGGGGAGTAACTAGATGTAGAGCGGAAGAACCCCCTCCGCCTCCCAGGGGCCCCTGGGCTGAGCAAAGGCCCTTCCCTTCATCCACTCAGTGAGCGAACTTGTGCTGTGCAGCTGCTAGGCCGAGGCCTCAGGAGGCTTTGGATACAGACGTGAACAAGCCCAGCTCTCGGGGGCTAATATCCTCGGGGAGAGACAGGCAGAGGCTTGAGCACCTCACTGCAGTCAGATAAGTGCTGTGAGACCAGTGGAGCCGCACTGCTCACGCTCACAGGGGACCGTCTGCCGGACGGGACAGGTTGGTCACAGTGTGTTCCCACAGTGACACACGCAGCAGAGGAAGTGGATGGAATACAGTGTCAAGTGAAAAGGGTGACCCCCCCGGAAGATTTGCAGGATTTTACTCTAACACTCCAAAACAAGCAAAATGAATAGTATATTGCTGAGAGAATTCTACTTTGGTGATTGTGAACACTGTTAAAATGTTTTTCAGGCAAGGGACGAAAAGCTCGGCACAGCAGTCACCTCTAGAGGGGAGGGGACACTGTGTCTGGCTCCCTTTGGCATGATGCAGCCGTCATGCAGCCTGTCCCCTGGGCGCTGCGGGCGGGCCGTCGGGCGTGCCTGACAGGGAGGCAGGCCTGGCGCAACCACAGACGCAAAGGGAGGGGTCCCATTATCTGCTGCCTGGGTAGTTGCTTCTGTTGCTTCTGTCATTAGTGCAGATAATGGTACGGAAGTAGAACCATATCATTTCGAGATCCTAAAAAGTTCCATTTAAAACCCCTCCTCCCCCACCCCAGCCCCGAGGCAAAGAAGCTGGAACTTGATTGAGCTGATGGAGGATGCGGTCGTGTTTCCGCCCACGGCCAGGCCAGCTGCGACCTGGCACTGCCTGCCTCGCCACATCCCTCCACCTTGTTCCCCCAGACCCTGGCCTACGGGGACATGAACCATGAGTGGATCGGGAACGAGTGGCTGCCCAGCCTGGGGCTGCCGCAGTACCGCACGCACTTCATGGAGTGCCTGGTGGACGCACGCATGCTGGATCACCTGAGCAAGAAGGACCTGCGTGTCCACCTGAAGATGGTGGACAGCTTCCACCGGTGAGCAAGGTGGGCCGGGCCATCCCAGCAGGCCTGTTCCGCCAACATGGGGGCCCCACCGCCACCCATGGCCCGGTCTGGCCCCCTCCCTCTTGGGACAGCGGGAACCCCATGGTGCCCTGCAGCTTGAGGCCTGAATCCTCTCACCGCCAGCCCTCTCCATTTCTCTTTAGCGTCACTTTCTTGGAGTTCTCTCCCCAGGTCTGAATTCCATGACCTGTTGCTGGGCTCTCTGAATCCCGTGTTACTCGAGAAGACTAGGTTAGGTGACTGAATCCTTCCGCGTAGAGGGGAACGGTCCTTGTGGGCCTCTGCCTGGCTACTGTCCCCCATCTGAGCCTGTGTGCTTTGCACCCACATCCTTTGTGCAGGATGTCATCTAGTCCTTTCCTGTTTGCTGGACAGGTCCTCCGTTCAAAGGTGTCTGCGGTGGAGGTCCCCAATCCACAGCCCACGGGCTGAATTGGCCCACAGATCTGTTCTGTTTGGCACACGTGGTTCCAGCAGTGACAGTTTTTAGGAAGTTCTTTCTCACATCCAGCTTCAAGTCGCACAGGTTGCTAGTTCCCAGAAAGGGTGTCTGAGATACGGAGTGATTGTCCCAGGGAGATGGGCTGCCTGGGTAAGCTGAGGGGACAGGAGGAGGGGGACATCTGCGTGATGCAATGTTACAAAGCAGTGGCCTCGCTAATGAAGAGCAGCAGGTGTGGTGGGCAGGCACTGTCTCTGTTGTCCTCAGCTCTGTAGATGACAACGCCGGGAGAGGAGGGGTGACAGCCGCGTTCAGGCCTGGAGCAACAATGATGTAGAAAGCTGCCTCTAGAGGCAGTGCATCCGTCCAGCGGTGGGGAGGTGCAGGTGCTTGTGCTGCTCAGAGGAAACGCTCCAGGTGACTCCTGCTTTAGGCGGGACCCTGCGGGGGTGGCCTCGGGTGCCACCTAACCCATAGCCTGTGGCTCTCAGCTTGGTGCTCCTGGCACCATACAGCACCTGCAGTGCTTTACGTGAAAGGCTCCGTTTCATTGACCAGCACTGATGGCCATTGTGTGCTGGACACTGTTGGTGGGGTTTGAGATTCATCAGTGAGGAGGACAAAGTTCCCTGCCTCACGGAGCTTCTATGTTAACTGGGAGAGACAGACAGGGGTTAGGAAACGTGCGAGGAACCAAAAGTGGTAGGAAACAATTAGGGGGTTGGGAGTGTGGGCTGGGGGTGGTGACATTTGAGCAAAGACCGGGGAAGAGTGTTCCAGGCAGAGGGTGCAGCCAGTGCAAAGGCCCCGAGGCGTGTGGGCATAAGGGAGATCACTAGCGTCTTACAGGTCGTTGTGAAGATTCAGTGAAACGGGGATACAAAGGATTATCTTGTTTTTGCTTTTCCTGTGACTGGTAGGGTCTTTGGGTCTTTGTCGCTCCAGGGCCTGGAGAGGGAGGAACGTGCTGCTTTCTCTTTGCTGCTGCTTCTTCACCTTCTTCTTCTTTCCCCCCCCCCTTTCTTTGGGACATGCTGCGTTCATTCAAAGAGCTGCCTCCAACATCAGCCCACCCCCGGGCTGAGAGGGAGCACATGGGGCAGACTGAGAGGGAAGTGGCCTTGGGTGGGTCGCGTGAAGCCCTGTGGGCAGAGCAGAGGGGGAAGCTCTTTGTGCCGGATGTAGGTCTGCACATGGGCCAGTATGGCCAGAACGTGGGCCCTGAGGCTGTGTGTGCCCACAGAACTAGTCTTCAGTATGGCATCATGTGTCTGAAGAGGCTGAACTACGACCGGAAGGAGCTGGAGAAGAGGCGGGAGGAAAGCCAGCAGGAGATCAAGGGTAAGCGGTCAGTTCAGCAGCCTCTGAAAGGTGTGGGGGGCCTCAGGCACAGTGGACGCTCCAATCTCAGCGGAAGGTACAGCCCGACCTGAAGGAGTTGGGCCCTAGATCTGATGAGGGGGCCGTGTCCGTGCCCAAAGGACGCTGCCATTTGGTGGAAAAGAAATAGCCCCTGCTCCGCCGTCTCAGCTGTCACCGCCACACCAGACAGTGGCACCCGCGGGACGGATGCAGTGAGTCCCCAGGACGGTGCTCAGGGAACTTAGGGGTCCTAGTGGGAGGGTAGGAAAGAGACCTTGAAGGCAGGAAGAACAAGGAGGCCATTCCAGCTTGGGGGCAGGGAGGGGCCCGTGCCAGGGCTCCGGGGAGAGTCAGGAGCCCGCTGGCCTGACCCTCAGCCCCATGGCTGGCTGTCCAGGAGCCCAGGTGTCAGGGAGGATGGGCCCTGGGTCTCGGGAGCCCTTCTGTCCCGTGGGCCTGGGTGGGCCGCCTCCCTTCTGCCCTTCTCGCCCACCCGCAGATGTGCTGGTCTGGACCAACGAGCAGGTGGTTCACTGGGTGCAGTCCATCGGGCTCCGGGACTATGCAGGACACCTGCGTGAGAGTGGCGTGCACGGCGCCCTGCTCGCCCTGGACGAGAACTTCGACCACAGCACGCTGGCCCTGCTCCTGCAGATCCCCACGCAGAACACCCAGGTGGGCGTCCCTGTCAGCAGCTCCTGCCCTCACACACAGGCTTCTTCTGGGGCTTGTCCCCAGTGGACCACAGTGTCCCCGCACCTCTCGAGCGCCACGTCAGTCCCTCGCCCCCCCCCCATCTCCTCACACCCCATCTTTGCAGCTGAGGCTCCAGGTCCTCCTTTTCCTCAACCTGCTCCCCTGACCTGATTTTCTGAGGAGAACGGGCACTGGGTTCCCAGGAGACCACAGAGCACACGTCTCCTTTGTCTGCCACCCTCGGGTCTGCTCCTGGGCCCAGGCTTAGACTAAATGGACCCAATAACGCACCCCAGAGCCTCTCCATGCCAGGCACCGAAGAGTTCACATCCCTGTGAATTATGTCATCACTGAGGGGCTGTGGTCCAAGAATGGATCTAAATTCTCTCGAAGCTGTTTGTCTGGCCTCCCTCACTTCCTGTGGGTAATGGACTCTGGAAGTACTCAAGATGCCCCTGTGAGGCCCCCAGGGTGCCCGTCAGCCTCCCCCTCGTCGGGATGACTCCTGGGTGTGGGAATGGTGTTGTCTTCACCGGTTCTGCTCTTGTGGTTTCATGAACTCGTGGTGTTGCCTCCGGGCTCGAGCCTCTGTGTCTCTAGACAGCGTCTGCATCTTTCTGCCTTTTCTCATGGAGACGCGCCCAGAGCCCTCATTGTCTCAGCTGCCCTTGACTGGACTGTGCAGCTGTCGGGCCTCTGGCAATTCAGCCCCAGAACGGCACAGGCTATTCCAGTTCTGGCTGGTGTGAGGGTGGTGCTGTGCGGTCTCGTAATTCTGGTGGTGTGATGGCCCTTTGGGGTGACGGCCGCCCACAGGGCCAGGGTGTCCTGTAGGCTCTGTGCCGTGACCCCCACCAGCCCCTCAGCAGGGCCAGCACAGGCTCCTTCCTTTTGTAAGGGAGCTTAGATACTTGAAAATTTGCTCTGCTTCTCCTTGCTGGTCATTTATAAAAATGTTGTATTCCCGGGGCGGACAAGGACTGTCCTTGCTAGCAGTGGGGTGAGCGAGCTTGCTCTCTGCAGGTTCCGTTTCCTGCCCCTGAGTGCGTTCGTTTCTGTGGAGAGCAGCTGGTCCGTAGGCAGGGCAGGGTCCCTCTACAGCTGCCCAGCCTTCTTGGTTTCCTGACCCCTTCGTGTCGCCCAGCTATTAGCGGAAGTGGGATCTGAACCAATATGGAATCCGTCTTTTAAAATGGTGAAAAATATCTGGTGGCAGTTTTGAAAACTTTCTTATTTCTCCCAAATCTCCTGAGTTAAACTCCCAGGGGGCCTCTGTGCGCCAGTCAGCCCAAAGGCCCCCAAATCCACGACTGAGCAGTTTTCCGGGGCTAAATTTTCCATGCGCAGCCTTATGAAATGTGTTTCTTTAACCTAATAAGTTATATCCCTACTACCTATGGCATACATGCTTATTTATTCCCCCCCACTGAAAGGCAAGATTTTCCCTGAGACAAAGTGTGGGGTTTTTCCCCAAGAGGTGAAGCCTGTCCACCCATGTGTTCTGTGAGCCTCCTTTTTAAAAAGATACAGTTTTCTAATTTGCTTCATATGAGAGAATCCTAAGGTTTACAGTTGACTCAAGAGGACACAGAGATTTGCTTCAAGGAGCAGAGCAGTTAATGGGTTACATGCACTGAAACCGCGTCTCTGCCCTCGGACCCCTAGGAAACAGGTGACAGATGGCACGGCGGGCGCTAACTACAGCCTCTCCTGCCTCTCCCTCTCTTACCCTGTGGGCTGCAGGCACGCCAGCTGATGGAGAGAGAGTTCAACAACCTGTTGGCCTTGGGCACAGACCGGAAGCTGGATGATGTGAGTGTCCAGCCGTGAATTAGGGGCCCTGGGATTTGGTCATTGTTGGTTCAATGGATTGAAGTTCATGGGCTGATGTTGGCGCGGGGGTGGCCCAAGGTGGCCCAAGGGATGAGAGCCGTGGGGATGGAGATGACATCAGGGTTTGGGAGGTAGGGCCAGGCCTAGCCTCAGGCTGGAGAAGTGTCCGAGACTCTTCCTCGAACACAAGCTGAACACAAGCTGAAAGCCGCTGTGTGTTGTCCCTCCAGCACCTCCAGCTCTGTGCCCTGCCCCTGGCCACATGGGGCCATAGGTGCCCCCAGGGGCATCTCTGTCTCAGACCCCGTCTCCTCAGTGCCGTCAGCACAGCTCATTCAGGTTCCAGCCCGCCCTACAGCAGTGTGGTCTTTGGGAGGCAGACATGATGCTGAGGCATCCTCAGGTGGCAGCTGGACACGTGGCCCAGGCTTCGTCCGGCAGCTTTCCCTCCAGCTTCTGTCATGTCTGTCTTCTTACCAAGTCAGGGTTTCCTCTCTGTGCCTCCCACTGGGTTCCGTCAGGCCTGGTCTGAGTTTAGTTTATGCTGAACTCTCCACGAAGACCCTGAGATGCCTGAGGACACAGCCGCCCCGCCCTCTGCAGCCTCCCTGTCTGCTCTCACCCCACCCTTGTCTGTCAGGTCTGCCCTGGACCCTTGGCTCTGAACAAGTTCAGGAGAGCCCGACTGTGCAACTGCAGCTCCTCAGTGCGGTCGGGTTGCTTTCTGATCCCTGTCGCCTGTGCAGCTCCCCTCTTCCTCACCCCTGCCCCTCGCCGTCTCTGCTGAGACTTCTGGCCTCTTTGGGACACGATCAGTGCTCCCTTCTCAGAGCCCAGCTTTGTGGGGTGACTGCTTGGCCTCGGTAGAGAGGACATACTCAGGAACACACAGAATGTGGGGGGCTGTTTTCTCCACAGAGGTACCTTGAAATTTGGAATTCATCACACATGCGCGCGCACACACATCAAGGAGGTAAACTGCAGACCCACTCTCAGAGACTGGAGTTTTCCCAGCGGCCCTGCCGTGTGGGCCCCCCAGTCACTCCCCACACACCTGGGTCTTTGCTCCCTTTAATGCTGTCTGAGAAGTGACTTCCGGATATCTCAGTATGCTGCTTCCTCATTTAGGAAGATACTTACTCCTTCCACCCCTACAGCACGCTTGTCTGAAGGCCTCCTCTGGGCCAGGCCTGGTGGTACCATGGTGACAGCTCGTTCGTGCTGACAGTCATCCTGTGTGACAGGTCACGGTTGCACCTGGCACATGAGGAACTGGAGCTCAAAGAGGCAGCTTCGTGGTTGTCATAGGCTGTGTGGCGGCCAGGACTGGAGCGAGTGTGCATGACTTCTGTGCTCCCCCATGTGCCACTGCCGCCCTGTCACGCGTCAAGCTCTGGCAGAGTTGCCGCATCGGCGATGGTGGGCTGGCAGCACCGTGTGTTTCCGGGATGCATGTGGGGCGGGGCTGAAGGGGACTGGCTCCTGCCAGGAAGCTTCAAGCAGAAGGGCGGTCCCAGGAGGAGGGCGAGGAGCTGCTGCTGGGCACGTCGTCGGGCCTGGGGAGGCTGCCCTTGTCCAGCCACCCAGCACGTCACCAGCAGCCTGCAGCTGCCTCTAGCAGCCATTGCCTCTGTCAGGTGTGGCTCTCAGGTTTCCCTCTCAAGCTTCAAGGCCCTGGAGGGCTGTGTCCATTCCCCCCCTGCATGGAGATCAGATCAGGACGCAAGGGGGCTGAGGGGTGGGGCGGGAAGGTCATCTGACTCTTAGGGGATGAGGAAGGCAGAGGCAATCCTTAGGGCTGGCTGAAGGTGGGAGGGGGGCTGTGGGCTCAGCGAAGGGCAGGGTCCAGGAGGACGGAGGTGAGGAGGGGAGCTGGCTCACGGAGGAACGCCTGTGCAGGGAGCCACGGCCATCCACTGCGAGCAGTGTTTATTCAGTGCCTGCAGCGTCCCGGGCACTGCTCGGGCTGGGACAGAAAAGACCATGGTCTCTGTCCCATGGAGTACAGAATTTGAAAGGATGGAGAGATTAATGAAGTCGTCTCATACGTACACGTAACAATGCTGCCAGACCACGGCTATGACAAAGGAACTCGAGCTAGAACCAATAGGGCCACCTCCAGGCACGAGCAACAAACCCAAGGGGTTGGGGCTGAGTGGGGTTGTTGAGGTGAGGACAGGTGGCTTAGTGTCCCCTGTTCCTGCTGGTGGCACTCTGCCTGCCCCAGACCGGAGAACCCAGGGCGGAGGGTGACTGGGCTGCCAACAGGGCAGGGTGGGGAGGTCGGGGCTCAGGGATATCGTATGGGCTGCGGCCCTGGGCGTCCTTCGGCAGAGAAGGTTATTGTGGAGACTTGGCTGGCATCAGCGAGGGGGCATGTGGCAGGGGCTGCCTCTGCTGGGCCATCTGCCTGGCTGATCACTCAGCGTTGTCCCCTGATCCCATTAAGGTGGCAGCTAGAGTCAGAGGTGGGTTATGTTGTTCCTCCTTTACAGACAAGGAGCTGGAGGTCACACTGAAGCCAGGTCTCCCTTCTCCAGACCCATCCTGAGGCCCGAGAAGGGCAGGAGGGGTGGGTGGGGGCTGCGTGGTGACCACTCTCCACGGGTCAGTCTGAGACCGGTCACTGGGCCTCTGAGCTGGCTTTGAGATGACTGGGGCCTCCAGGAAACATTTCAGATGCCCTCAGAGGGACCCCTGCCACCGGAGACAGGACCTCTCAGAGTCGCAGGGGGTGGTGCCCACTTCAGCCCAATTCATTTTACAGATGGAAAGGCAGAGGGCCGATGTTTGCCCCCTTCTTTCCCGAGGGACGGGAGTGGTATCCCCGGAGCAGCCAGGGCTGCCCTCTCCCAGGCGGGGAGCTGGGTGGCATCTCGGCTGTGTCCCCCACGCAGGGGGAGGACAAGGTGTTCCGCCGCGCGCCCTCCTGGAGGAAGCGCTTCCGGCCGCGGGACATCCCCGGCGGCGTGCTCAACGTGTCCACCCTGGGGTCCCTGCAGCCTCCACCGGCCCCGCCGAAGAAGGTGGCGCCCGAAGGTGAGTGCTCGCTGCGCATCTGCGCGCTGACCCTGGGCCGCCCCGCGCGCGCACTCACCGCCGCCTGCGAACCCGGCTGCCGACTCCTCCGGCCGGGACGGCGGGGCGCCGAGCCCGGAGCCCTCCACGGCGCGGACCCGCTCCTGCTGACCCCCCTGCCTGGGTCTGCCGGGCGCGCCCGTGGCCGGGGTAAGAGGGCCAGGCCCAGCGCACGGCCTCCCGGGCCCTCCCGGCCCCACCTGGCCGCCCGCCGCGCCTGCTGCGCCCTCCGGGGCCGTCCACGCCCACGTGGGGCGCGAACCCGGCTCAGGCCGCTGTCTCTCTCCCCCAGCTCGCTCCCACTATCTCTACGGACACATGCTCTCCGCCTTCCGGGACTAGCCGGCCCTGGATCTCAGAATACACTCGTCCGCCCCTCGCATCGCATCCCCCCCGCAACCCCCGCGTGTCCTTTGTAAGTCTCGTGGACGTGGCTGGGTTTGTGCAGATTCTGGAGGACCGCAGCCCCCCGTGGGCGGGGGAGGGGGTGTGTGTGTGGCGCCACCCGCCCTCTCCTGGACCTGGTGGGTCTGGACGGCGATCTCCACTGGAGACCAGGACGCTGTGCCACGGGCTGGGGACGGCCCTTCTAAGGAAAGGACACTCAGACTCCGCCTTGCTTGGGCTGTTTGGCCCCTGGTCCCTGTCCGTCCCCTGGCGGTGCCAAGTGGCCCGCCACCTGGGTTGGGCACCCCTCAGCATTCGTCTTCCCTGAAGTCCTCTGCACAACACAGCCCCTGCCTCCAGGAGGCGCACTCTCGGGGTGGTGAGGCTGTGGATGGGAAGGCTAAGCGGAGCCCCCAGAGGTGAGCGGGAGGAATCTGAGGGAAACGGGCTCCTGCGCTGCGGGCCAAGGGCAGGCATGGGGAGCGCAGGCAGCCCACTGGAGGCGGAGCCGATGGCCTGTGGTGCCTTAAGCCCGAAGGCCTGTGGGTACGCCTTGTGGCCCAGCCGCGGGCTGGGGGCAGGGATGGTGTGGCTCAGCTTGGGGGCAGAACTGCCAGCTACGCTCCCAGCACCCTTCCCTTGTGGCTGGCTATGCCCATCGTGTGGTAACCCGAGCCCCATAACGATATGCCTGATGGGTGGCTACACTGACCTTAGATTCTGGGGAAAACATACCCTGAGACTCCCTTGCCCTGACCTGGGGAGAAAGTGAAGCTTCCTTGTCAGTGAGTCAGGCCCCAGGTCCAGGTTACTGAACGTTGGGGAAGGCTGTTGCTCTCCTGCTCACCCCCAAACCACCTACCCCTTGTTCCGGGCTCTCTTGGTGTGCAGGCACTGCCCCCTCCAGAAGCTTCTGAGATCTGCCCAGCCCCTACCAGTTTACTGCTGTCGCCACCATGCAGCATGGGGGCAGCTGAGGCTGGAGGATGCAGGTCCTGGCTTGGTAGGAATGTCATCTCCAAGAAATCCTCTTCCTCACCCACCTCCTCAGCCTGCCAAGGTGCCTGCAAGTGTTTAGGACCTGCGTTCAGGATGAGTGGATGGAACCCAGGGCTTCATCTAAGTGAGACGAGAGGAAAGTGTTTTCAGCATGTTTCCTGGAAAGGGGCCAGCGCGGTGCCATCCTACAGGTGGCTGAGCAGCTGGTTTGTAACCCGATCGACTCGGGTTCTGAGCAGGGCTGCACTAGCAGGTGGGGTGAGGGGTCAGAGCGCCCTGTCCAGGAGTAATGGAGCCTGAGGCAGTGCCAGGTCTCAGAGGCTTTGGCCACTTTTCAGTAGAGACCCACCATGGTGGGGCTAGCTGGCCCCGCAGCCCTGGGCAAAGCAACCACCTTTCCTGCTGTCCCTCATTATCCCCTGCACCCCCGGTCATCAGGCCACTGCAAAGGGAGCTGGAGGAGCTCATAAGCAGAAAATGAGTTGGCGGAGTGAAAAGGCCCCATCCTGCACGACAGATAGTAGATTAAGGAGAATCCCCAGATTTCTATGATTGGTGGAACTGGTATGTCAGGGGACTCGATGGGCTAGCCTGTCTTCTGCATCCTAACCCTACATGGTTGCCATGTCATAAGGCAGCAGCTGGTGGGACCCAGGTCCCTTGAGGACATCTTTGCAATATTGTTTGGAGCTGACGGAGCAGAGAACCCCAGAGGGAAGGCCGTTGTCTTGGGGCATCTGTTGCCTCACAGTCAGTGTACTTGTTTGGAGAGTCACCAGTGACCTGAGCCCCCTCACCAGCCTCCTGTACTTGTCAGGTCCCTTCTCAGTACTGTACTGTCTCAGTGCATCAGGAACGGGTGTGTGTGCGCGCGTGTGCGTGTGTGTGTACGTACCAATAAACAACCCGGTTTTAAGACAATTTACAAATGGCTCTGGTCATTTTAAACTTTGAGCTTGCCTGAGATGCCCACCTTCCTGCACAGTCCTAAGGGTTAATAAACACCAGGGTTTTAAAAACAACCTGTAGTCAGTAACCTGTTTACTCACACAAGCATGGGATTGATGTAGAGGCTGCTGTCTGGGCTGCTTGTGCCACGGGACTCAAGTGGCTGGGACGGAGGGGTGAGGAGCCCCGACTGCTGAGCTGGTGTCCTCATCTGCCCCCTGTCTACTCACCTGGTCCCAAGGTCCCTGCTCCTAGATGTCCTCTGGTTCCCCCACCTCTAGTTCAGGCCTAGTGCCTTGGTGTGGCATAGAAAACTGTCCATACTTGCTCCAGGGCCCTGTGTCTCCCCCCTCACCCCGCCTCCCCAGTGTCAAGTCCACCCAGCCTGTCACCAGAAGGCAGCATGGGCACTTCTGTCCTGCTTTTTGCAGCTGCGAACCCTCTGGGCCCACTGCAAGCACCACCTGGGAGGTGTCATTGGCCCTCCCAACAGGCAGACAGCACTCTGTCCCCCCCCACCCCCCCGCTTCGTGAGGCTGTCCACATCCCGCACTGGACTGTGAGGAAGCCCCTTTAGGTCAGTCTGTTGGTCCCTAGATGTGCATACTGGACAAATGAACCAGCCTTGTCTCAGGGTTTTTTCTAAGGATTATTAAGTAAGTCTCGACATTGTTGAGAACTACTTTGTGTCAGGTGCTGCTCTGAGCATGCTCGGCGTGTCTTCTCACCCTCACAACCCTGGGACGTGTTATCACCACCATTTTGCAGAACAGGACACTGTAAGCCGAAATGTACACAGCTGGTGAGAGACAGGTGTGGGTCCCAGAGCCAGGTCCTGACCGCACTATCTGTCCTCAGCGGCAACGAGTGTGTTGGAACGTCTGACCCAGTGCCAGGACTGCTCATCACGTCTAACCTGATTCTCTCTAAGGGAGGTCAAACGCTGCCCCTCAGCTGAGCCTCCCCGGCTTGCTGTCCCAAACCCCACGTCTGTACCACCCGTGCAGTGGCTCCTGTCACCTTCATGGGGCCGTGTTTCCTCTGCCTGCATAGTGAGCTCTCTGCAGGCAGCATAATACACTGTACATCCTTGTCTTCTCCAAGGCTGACAGTGTCCTAAACACTGACAGTCCAGGATGGCAGCGTCTGTGGCATGGAGCGAGACACGGCAGCCTGTGACCCAGGGAGAGCACATAGACGAGGGGAGGTGCTGGCCTGGTGCCTATTGGGTTGTCGGAAAAGTCATGACACATTTATCAACGAAAAACATGGAAAAAATACGTCATGACTTTTCCGACAACCCAATACAAGCCTCTGGGGCCCCTCCCATCCTCTCCATGATCAAAGGTAGAACTGACCAGCCGTGGTGACCAGCTGGCTACAGGAATGAGAGCTGAAGGGACCCAGAAAATCTTCAGTTTCCCATTGTTGCCACCCACTGACTGGGGGTTGTGTTAAGAGCAGACTTAGCGGTGATGTGAGTTTGATGTTGGACATGCTGAGCTTCAAAGGAGACCCCAGCATCACATTTCTGTTGGAATTTGTGCAAAAGAAAGAGAATGTAGGTTTCCTTTCCTTTGCCTCTCCTACGAATTTCCAAGCATCTGGTGGCCTGTGGCTGAGGGGAGGCCCGGCCAGCATCGCCGTGGGGTGAACATCGGGGGTTCCCACCTCAGCCTGGGCTGTGCCTCCTTAGGCAAGACTCCGGCCCAGAGCCTTAGCTCACCTCCAGGCACCTGGGGCCCACAAGCTAGGAATTCAGACAAGCAAGGGACGTGACATGTCAGGGATGGCGTTTTAGCCATGAAACACATCTGAACCAGGGGGCGCCACTATCGCCCTGCAGTGTCCCCCTCCACCCACCACCTACGACACCTGCCACACTTAGAAAGGTTTTCCAGCTGCCAAACAAGATCACTTTGAAAAGTTACAGATCCGAGAGCATTTATTGGGAGCTCGACAAATAGTGCTTTATGCACTCTGGAAGTCACACTCATTGTCTAAACGCTCCAAGAACTTCCTATGTGCACACTGGCAATTTATGTCAATTTCAAGTACTTCTTATGTTTTTCTCTAGGGAACCCCCGAAGTCTGTATCTGGCAGCATTTAATTTACCCAGTTTGATTTATTGCAGGTGCTCCCTCTGGAGACGGGAATTAAAGCTAATTTCCCTAAAGAACTCCTGCTCATTATTCATTAATCCTCATGTGTAATTTAATTGCCAAAGCGAAGCCTCTGTTAATTTAACAAAGTCCCTGTGCTTTGGTGACATTGGCCAGAAACTGTTGACCCAATAACTGTCACTTAGGACTGTTCATTCTCCAATGGGACCTCAGTTTACAACATGATAATTGAAGAGGAAGAAGCCTCAAAATATATCCTGCAGCCTGGAGCCTACCAGCTCCTTAACAAGGGGGAAGTGCGCTTGTTGACCAGCGCCAGCCCCCAGCGAGGGGGCAAATGAAGGCGGGGTGGCGGGGAGACTGTCACCATTGGAGCTTGGGAGGTACCGAGTAGAGGAAATGGACCTGAGTCTCCAAGGGCAGTGAGTCAGGGAGGACCGAGTGCTGTGGAGAGGACCTAGGCTTTTCCTGCAGCCCTTCAGGAAGGTGAGGCCGTAAACACAGAGACGCCAACTGGTAAGGAAACCCCACAAACGAGGCAGCTTGGGCCGGTGTGACTGGTGTTTGGGACAAGCGGCCGCCCCCATTTCTGAGTCTGCTCTGAGGCCTCCTCCTTTTCCTTACTCAGACTTTCTGGGGGAACCCTTGGAGCTGTGTGTTGAGCCCCCTGTTGAGGAGCAAACAGGAAGTCAGGTGTGGGGCACACGGCCCCGCGGAGCCCGTGGGCCCCAGAGCCTGCTCAGTAACCCTGGGTCAAGTCTGTTAAGGGCCTGAGAGCTGAGTGGGGGCTGGAACCTCCAGACTTCTGTAATGATTCTGAAACTTACAATTTGCATGAAATCAGACAAACTTAGCCTAAGGCAATTGGAGTTAATAAAGTTTTTAGTAGATGTTCATGCTCCATTCAGATTCTGGCTCCTGATATGGCCCCAGTTAGTCCTTATGTAATCGCTGTCCAAAATCTTTGTTCTCAATTCTCCACCCACCTTCTCCCCCCAGGAAGCCAGTCTTTGCAAAACAGCATCCCATCGGGAGAGAACCCAGTTTCTCTCCCTTTGACTGTCCCTTGTGGGCACCCCCCTCCCAACCCCAGCAAAACTGCCTCCGTCCTCTGAGCTGTAAGCAGGAGCCAGGCTCCCCTTATGCCTGCAGGATTGGCTAGTGTGGTGAGGGACATGATAGCTGGCCTGCGAGGAAGTGACAGTGTCTGACCCCACTTCCCTGCAGGACTCCCCCTGGTAGTGTCACACCAGAGGAGTGGCAGGGAGGCGAGGGGAAACCCACAAGTTCCAGCTCTGCCCCTGCGTGCTGGCTGAGGTCTGAGCATGGCACGTAAGCGTGTGTTCAGGTCCTTGGAGCACCTGTCGGGATGTAAGATGGAGTGACCAGGTCTGTGAGTTAGAGTGCAGCGGACACTCAGTGGACACCTACATGCCCCACACGCTTTCTGTGGGCCCGGATTCCTCTGTAGGGGCAGAAAGAGCAGGGGGCCCAGTGCCCCACCAGCTCCGGCTCTTGGATGCCTGCCCTGGGGGGCGCTGGACTGGGGGGAAGGCAACAGCAGCAGGCACCCCCTCCCTCTACATCATCATGAGACCCTTCTAGCACCCAGTCTTTATTCATTTTTTAAAAAAGGAAATCCAAATAAGTTAGCAAAAAACAAATTACAAAACAATGGCAAAACCACACTATGCTTAGTTAACAAAAGAAATCACCCCCAGACACCCCCACCCCACCCCGCCTGTCTCTGGCAACTTTGCACAGGACACCTTGGTCAGATGGCAGCTTTACAAACAACACACAAAACAAAACAAAACAAAACATAGACCACTGGAAGCTTCCCAGCAGTCACTGCAGAAGCTTGGCCCCCCAGGGACTTGGGAACAGAGGGTTGTCCCTTTCTTCTCTCTCACTCGAGGGCAGGCCCAGCCCAGCCACTGGCGTCAGGAAGAGATGGGGACAGGAGGTGCGCACAGCTCGTCCAGGGCAGGACACTGTCTTCATCGCTGAAATCTTTCTGGGGCAGTGGAGTTGGAGGCTGTGCTAGGATCAAAGCGAAGGTCCTGAGTTTGCCCCTGGCCGGGGCGTACACAAGGGGCGCTCTGGTCCCCTGTCTTATCTTCCTGGAAATGGGGTGCCTGTGCTCTGTGGCGTCAGCTAAGTGAGAGCAGCCATTCCCTCTCTGGGTGGTGAGCCTTCTATAGATGAGGGGGTAGGCTGGCATTTGGCGGCCCCACGGCTGGCTTCCTGGCAGCAGGATAGCCGGGCTTAGGAGGCCTCTGCTGCACAGGTGGTGGCATCTGTGGCCAGCTGGGGGGCCCTCCCGGACGCCCGGCCTGGCAGCAATCTCAGTTGGGCATGGTTTCGTCTGGGAAGGCCACGGAGACGTCCTCCACCGTGATGCCATCCACAATGGAGGTGAGGGAGTGCAGGCTGTGGGCATCTGTGGGGTCGGCTGTGAGCAGGTGGTCTGTAAGGAGAAGGTGGAGGCTGTTACCTGGGCAGTGCAGGGGGTCTCAAGACCCAGGACGGGATGAGCAAACATCAGGAGTCCCGCTGCCAGCCTGGGGGTGTGCGTGTGTGCCGTGCCCATTCCTGGACGCCCCTGGGGGTTGGGACATGGAAGCAACTGTTCCAACTGTGTGGCAGGTGGAGGTGGGGCCAGACGGGTGCGTCCGGGGAGACTGGCACTGCCTGTGCTGGCGCAGTTGTGCGGCACTGACTCAGCGATTCCCAGGGACCCCTGGGGCGGGGACAGTCTCCAGCTCTCCAGCTTATGGAGGTCAGCCACCAGGCACCCGCTGGGGAGCAGCAGGAGGCCGGGGCCGCTTCAGCCTGGTCAGGCCTTCGAGG